ATGAAAGAAAGCTGCAAAGGACTGGCTTCTGTCGGTCCTTCACGACTCCCTGGTTGGGGTCCGAGAGATGGTGCTACACAGTGGCTAGAGACGTTATCAGATATGGCTCAGAATAGAAGCCAGTGGCGATCCTGCTGTAACCTTCTTTTACTTTCTTCATAAAAAGTGGTTCTGTCTCCCTTACCTGAAAGATTTCTTCCGATTGTACCTTTGCGTTCCCTGATTACTAGCACATTACCTTACACCAATCTCTTCGTTATTGTTCTCTCTTTTTTTTGTTGCGCTCCTTAGCTTTTTTCTTCTTTCTTTGTATTCCTCTCGAATTTTCATTGTTTTGTGTGGCGCATATATATTGGCGCTCTCTTGTACCAATATTCATGTGTCCAAATAAATAAATAAATAATCTTAACAAGTCTATGTATGATCAGACTGTTCAACATGCATCGCGCAAATATACCACATTATTCTGATAACCATCGTCTTCCCATAGAATTATCCATATATATAAGTAAAGCGCCATGATCAGGAACTAGCTTTATTTCTGAACGTCTAAATGGGATTTTCTGTTTTACGGAAAAATTTGTTGATAGACTACCGCTATAAATACGGTCGGGCAATTTTTGACAAACGACATTTTTGAAAATCTTTTCGTTAGGGTATCTTTACCGGTTCCCGAAATTCTGTTAGAAAGACGTGCATGCGTTTGCTCGTCTATGTATGCATATGTATGTATGTATGTTTGTATGTATATGTGTATCTATACGTAAGTGCAGAACAAAAATAGTGGATACGACGCTACTGGAAATTCACTAAAGGCACGGTTTAAAAAAGATACTGGGTCAATATTGATAAATATATTATCAAACTTTCCAACTGATACCAAAAGCACTTGAAATAATATAACATTCGACGACAAACTTTGCTATGTAGCGTAAACTAAGACACACGTGCACACTCGTGAAGCTAAAAATAACGGATGTCGTCATATTAGAGTTTTCATTGTTATATAGCCTCTTTTATTCTGTAGGACGTGAATACCACGTGATCAGCGATTAACTGATTACAGATCCAATAGTTATCGATAGTCGATATTGATGAGGTGAGTTATAACTATTCAAATCCACCAAATGATTAAACTAGAAAGCATATTTCCTTACTCTTCTAAAGCAATTATTTTAAAATAAATGGGGATTAGAATATAACACAAGTCATTTAAAAGTAGGAAAAGTGGTCGGTTGTAAGATTTACAGGTCCTGTTTGCAGTAAGCAAATCAGAATGACAAAACAATTATTTGATTTTTCTATTTATTCTGTAAAAAGTCAAAGAAAACAAGAAAGTTGGGACAAATCTATGCCAGTTCAAGTTCCCACATTTTAAAAAAAGTACAGCGAGAGCAGAAAGTAACAAGATGAGAAGCGTGGAAAGGGAAGAACATTGAATCCAATGGAAAGTTAAGCTTAATAAATATTCCCCACAAAGAAATGAAAAGTAAGGAACAACACCGAACTCAATAGATAAAGTAAAATATAGAATGAGGACAACTTCACCACAGAGTACGATGCAGAAACATGACATTTGATGTCTTCAGCAATACAGTGATAATCTCAAGAATCTCAATTCAGAAGTCTACATTAACCAATTAGCCTGAAACCAAACAATGGTTTCTTTCATTCATACACTCTTTGTGTTCTCCCAAATTCTAATCTCCTGAATTCTTTATGTCCCTTTTTTTCATCTCCCCAAATTTATTTCACTGGATTATACTCTTCAAATAACATCTCCAAACCCTAATCTTCCCGATTACTGCTTATACTCTTACTACCTCTACCACAACGGGATTTGAATCGACAACTGCATCTTTGTGCTAATGTGGTATGGCAACTCGAACTGAAGTACGTACGTACGAAGTTCTACGTTGTTACTGACTGAGTGAAGTCTTGATTTGACTACTTGCAACTTTTTCTAAACCTACTTATATGTCAGCTAGCATTTCGCGTCCAGCTACATAACAGCTATTTGTAGGTACTATCTATAGATGTATAAAAGAACGGAACAATGCAAATAGTTGCGTTGTTATCACAGATTTGATAGTTTCCTCATAAATTGGCAGATCATAGGTTAAATAATTTCTTGACTTTAAAGATTTTTATGAGGATACTGTTAAGCCTCATATCCTGAAGTTAATTTATCCATCTTATGATATTTTAATAATTATAGTAATGTAGCAATATAACTCAGTAACAAAAATTAATGTGATTAAGTCTATTATATGACGGATAGTGATACTTTTTGACTGGTTATGTATGGGTAAATGGAATTTAAAACCCATCATTTACAATATTAAAATCCAGAGTCTTAACCAACAAGTCCCAGCCCCATTATTATTATTTTATTATTTGAACACATAGATATTGGTACAAGGACGCTTCGAATACATATGCGCCAAAAAAATCTCATTAGATTTGTGTGAGAGCTGTGATACTGCCCGGGTACCAAAACCGAAGCAGGTGGTTTTCTTAGGGAGCCACACCCGCAGCCTTCGACCTAAAGATCTGATCCACAGGGCAGTGGAGCAACGTCAGGAGATGCAGTCCCATGGGAGCCGGTGACCAACGATTGGTTCATACGCCATTTGTTCCCTCAGGATACTGGAGCTCATGTCACCATTTGTTTGGAATCAGGGTTTTCTAACTCCCCTAGGTGGACTTTCCGTGTCCACCAACCCGGTTAAAGCGCCGGACATTCGCGTTTTGTCCTCTCGATTTCGTAAACAACGCCCCCGCCACGAGAAGACAGTGAGTAGGCCCCAACAGTTAACAATAATTTCTACACAATTGGCTTAATAATATATAATAACTTTTAAGTTAGGCAGTTATGAGGTATCACTAGTGAAAATAAGCAACTCAAAGGAACAAGTTGATACTACAACCTTGAGATTTAGATGGTGGTTGGAGGTAGTCAACAGGAAACCCTGGACCCGGGTTTCGTGCTACTTGGCACTCGTCAGCAAGGTGTACCTGTAATCTTGAGGGAACTGGTGCTCCCTGGCGGATTCGATCTCGTGTCACCCAGCTTCACAGTCAGAGACGTTATCACTGAGCTATCCGAGCCGTGACTAACCTCCTGTAGGACTGAGATGTAATCACAATTGATTGATCACTGGGTGGTGATCAATGCCATGCTTGTCTAGTTCTTATTAGTGCAGATCGAATGCTATCGATCATGTTGCACGAGATCGAATCCGCCAGGGAGCACCAGTTCCCTCAAGATTACAGGTACACCTTGCTGACGAGTGGCAAGTAGCACGAAACCCGAGTCCAGGGTTTCCTGTTGACTACCTCCAACCACCATCTAAATCTTAATACATAGTGCCCGCAGTGTCGAGTCACCTAGACTGGTGGCCACATTGCAACATGATCGATAGCATTCGATCTGCACTAATAAGGACTAGACAAGCATGACATTGATCACCACCCAGTGATCAATCAATTGTGATACTACAACCTTACCATAATCATGAAGCTCCGTAGCATGTGACTAGTTCTTAAAACTGTATTTGAAGATTATGAAGATTTATAGCTAATGTGGACGACTTTGATGGTGTTTCTCTTTCCAGCTCAGATAATGAGTACAAAAAATTAATTAAAATTGCTGATTCACACCATATATCAATGGATTTAGGATATTATCACTGGCTATCTTACAGAAATATAGGTCAGAAAACGGGAAATACATGATCTATATTACTAATAAATGTACATACATTAATTAGTGTAAAAATAACCATTTAGAAATGTTGAAAACAGAAACTGAGTCTAACTTCTAATGTTTGCAAAAAGCAAAATTCGTCGCATAAAAGTAATCTCTGTGATGACCAGCTAACTTACTGATTTTCGCAAAATGTCTTAATCATAGGTACTTAATGAAAGACTTAACTAAAACCCCTATCTCTCCAGATACACCACAGTATGAAGTATAGGAAACGTTTCAGCCTCGGCCAATAGAGGCAACTTAAGACAATGATATTTTGTACTTAACCAATATGTGATGGGGCAAGGTGAAATAAGATCAATGTCACACATAAGAACTAAGCTTAACACGTATTAAAAACTACCACGCATAATCCTTGGACGTGTTGTTGAGTTTCACTTTATATTATGACTATCAGGACATTTAGACGACTGGCATCTTAAATGTTAATAACGTCAGAGAGATGATGTTAAGCATGGAAAGCGAAAGAAATCTAAAGAAATTACATGGGTAAAGTTAATAGTAAAAATAAAAAGATAAAAGTCCACTACTAAAATTGGTTCCTGATAACATGATATTGATGCTTGAAGTACATGGACTTGAGGAGTATAAAATTTTCTTTGTGTATTTCAACAGCTTAGAAACGCTAAAGGAGTCAGTCATCAATCAACAAGACAAATAGTAAAGGAGTCGAAATAGTCGTAGAATCAGTAGTAAATGAATTTGCGCACTAAATTATCAGCTTTGAAATAGACGGAATCTTTTCAAGTTATACTTCTATACTGCCTAGACAAGTCACATAGAAATATTTGACATCTATAATACAACAAGTTTGCTATATGAATTAATCCAACTTTCTACTTGCTATGACATATATGATAACATCACAAGTTCCTAAGCTGGACAAACCCAAAGACTCCATCTATGCCACTAAATGTACTATAGTGACGAAGGTTGTAGTCCGAGATTGAAGGAATCCTTTTATATAGGTTTGTCGAGTAAATTCTTAAAATGGGGTCTATTAAAGCTCCGCATGCAGCGAAACAACTTGTCAACAGGAATTGCTTGACCAGGTAATTAAAACCGATCAAAAAACACATGATATAATCTAAAACATTTTTGTATGCAGGGTTTTGAAGCAGAATCCAAGTTGTAGGTAATCAGGTGAAATCATAATACATATCACTTATGACACAGAAGCAAGGAAACTCAGCTTAAAGATCGTAACTGAAGACTTTATATTTCTTACCAGGATAAAATTCATCTTGTTTTGATATCTTGACCTTTGTATTAGTATCCTTTTGAATCCGGCCGATGGCCTCGCCAGACTTCCCAATGACTGCTCCAGCAGCAATTGATGGAACCAAGATTTTCAGCTGGACGTTATCCTCTTTAATATGAAACATAGTTTTTACCGATCATAAACATGAATTGCCATATAGAAAACAAGTTTGAAAAACTTACCACAGTTTGGACGTTTCGGACTGGTATCTGGGTCCATATCTTTCTCCCGGGGTCTTTTCCTGGAATCGCTGCTGTCATCAGAGCTTGAGTGACTTCCTGACATTCTGTTAACAACAACTTCTAATAGTAGTGCAAAGTAAATGCTTAATCTCTTGACATCACGTAAGATTAATTTTAGGGGCTGTAACGTCTGACTTGAAGCCAGCTCCAACAGAAGAGTGCCTTCAATTTTCGCATGTCAAAAACATGCGACGAGATTCTTCAATTCCCGTGTTCACGATAACAAAATATAAACTGTAAAAAAAGATTGTCTGAGCTTTGACTTTCAGTCCACGGAGTACAATAAAAACATCCACACAGGGTCTCCTGTAGGCCGGATGATAGAACCGGAATCCCCTATATATACCATTATCAACTGCCTTTTCCAAAATTATACGTTCGGTGCAATATGGAATTTTTAGAACACAATTTTTCAGAAGGTTTCGCTTAAAAGATCACAAAACAATCGATAACTGCATATATAAGTAAACGCACTATTTAAAAAGAACAGTGGTATTTTTCCTCACTGAGTTAATTTTGTTGCTTTGATGGCTTATCACCCATGAAGACTACTGTTTCGGCTTTGATTGAATTTGTTTAAGGTAAATTAGTCGTCGAGAGTATCGTTTTTTCATAAGTAATTTTCCATCTGTACTTGAATACATTGGTTCTTCCTTTACTTGTTGCGTTAGCGTAATCGAGGTGCATCAAATGGTACTCGATCTGTCGATACACAAATCTATGTGAAGTTACACCAAAAAGGCTCTGAGTCTGTTGGTTCGCATGGACTTCGCATGGACTTCAGATATGTCTGTTAGGGATGAAAGCTCAAGCTAGGAAAATTCTTCTGTCCCCTGCCCTCTAAATGTCGACAGGCTGAAAACCCCTATAAAACCTAGTAGCAAGGCTGGGTTTGTTTCTAGCAGGGAAAACAACAGCCTGACCACCCAAGTCATCAACAATCGTCTAGCATCCCACAGTTTTTGTAACGCAACTGTGACTGCTATTCCAATGTAATTTGACAAATGGGTACGGATCACGAATAAGAACCGACCTAATGTTGAGGAAATGCCGGCCTCCCGGACAGTAGTTGAGGGCTTGAAGGCTGACCGTAGTGACAGGTCAGTTGAAGGGTCAGAACAGCAAACTCGCTTTGAGCGATTGGTTGATAACAGATTTATTTAACCAGCTAATGCCCCAACTTCTTGCTTAGATCTATGAAAAACACATGTATTTGAGCACTGCTATCCTCATCTACATTCCCAACCTCTCTTGCAATGAGGAGAATAATCAAGCACAAATAACCTTCACTGAAACTATGTTTTTCCCCTTCTTAAACATTATTCCCTTCCACATAGTTCGCAACAGCCATATGAATAATATTACCGCATTAGTTTGATAAATACAACGGTAAGTCTTATAGGTCGATTATAACAAACTAAGTCTTAACTCCCCACTACATAAACCAAACAGATAAGTGCATCCTTCTAGTCTCTTGACAGTTTAGACTGAACAAAAGACAATATCAATTATAATAATATATTCTAAAAATAATAGTCACAGAATTCACGCCAGTTTATAGGCATGATCAGCCTCAAATAAATAGTAACATCAAATGTAAAGGACACACTTATGTTATAAGATTGACTAAAGTTTACTAGTTCAAAAATTGTTTAGATAGTATATTGATGACGTGTATTACAGCAATGCAATTCATCCGCCGGGAACTTTTCATTCTTCTTAAGTGAACATCCTGTCTGTTTGTAAAAGATGCACTTGAGGTCACTTCATGTGTCATAATGAATTAAATATAATCATCTACAACAAGAGAAAAAAAGAAAGCACGGAACAACAAAGCAATTATTACTAAAATATGTCAACCATGTCTACCATAATGCATGTGTCATGTGACTCAGTGATATACTGTTCAGATTAGACATTATTCAAATAATTTAGGGTTACGTGGGACGGAGATAACGCTAAGCAACAGCAGGTAGGTGGTTTACTTAGTGAATTCAGTAAGTAATTCAAATACCACTACAAACGCTCAACAATTACAACCGACAGGGCTTTGATGATGCTGGGATAAATATCTTAAGGACCCGTGGAATTATCTGGTTTAATTGTCGAAGTGTTCACACGACAGCTTCCTTCTAAAAAATACAAGATCCATCAACATGCCGCACTCGTTAGAACTAATTGTTGGTACGCACAATAGTCAGTAGGAAACACGTTACCAAAATGTTTTGACAAGTCTTCATACCTGGTAACATCGCTTCTTCACAATGTCAGGGGACTTTCGTTTACCAAATACAAGGTTTGTTAACTTAAAAAATTAAAACATCGGGGACCCATATATAGACTGTTATTATATACAGAATTTCATTGTATAAGGATTGAGTAACTAGATTGTATATATTTATATTTTTTATCATAAGTTTTCATTTGATCTACTGGCTACGTTATAAGGTATACCATTTTTAGCTTATTCCAAATTGTTTTAGCTTCAATCTCCCATATTCCACCACTATTGGCTTGATCTTGTATAATCATTATACTGCATTTTATGGTGTGATGCGTTCTGGTTTGTATGTATATACACCACGTATGTCTGGGCTATGTAATTCATACAGTGGAAGTGGATATTGTGTTCTTAACTGAACGGGCTGGGTTAGATGAGAGGCCACTATTACCTAGAACCAATAAGGATTCAGAATTGATTCAAGGTTACTGGTGCTGGTTAACCTGTAATTGGCATAGCACTGGGGTAAATTCATACATGTCGGTATTCTGATTCACGATTTAGTCACGTGATAAATGAGAGAGCATCGGTCATAACAGCGAGGCCCCAACTCTTCTCCAGTTTCAACTTTTCATGTAAGTGAACATCCTTTTCAACTTTTTTGCAATCTCTATCAAAATGTTTTTTATACCAAAGTTTAGCCTTACTTATCAACGCTTTGCTTGGTGGTGTTACAGTAAATGGATCTGTACTGTTTAGAGCCTGTAGAGATAAACATACACTGATGCCTCTTCATACGTGTTAGGAGTTTCTTTACATGTTCGCTTATCCATGGTGGACGGTTGTTTGATCTACGTTGTACTATGCACGGCAGAAATAGGGATATTACTTGGTTAAGGTTACCCGGAAATTTGGATCATGCATCTCCAAATTATGAGCTAGCGTTTACTGAACATTTTACTTTATGTCTGATTGTGATCCAAAATAAAGTCATCAGCTGATCAGGTCGGTCTACCATGGATGACACCAAATATAAATGTACAACATTCAAATCCGGGTTTACAGTTGCTGACTTCACAAGTTACACCATGGTATTCACAAAGGTATGGACTTTTAGGTCATTAGTTACGCAGGCAAAGAACCTGCCGCACTTCCTCCCTCCATTTCTATCAGTTCTTATGTGACTGTACACCAACAATTCTGGTGTTACGCCTGAGTTTTAGACTAACCAAATCTAGGCCACAGATATGATGGGTGGCTTAAATTCGTCCGTCGATACTCTCAGTTTATGGGATTTGTCTCTCAGACTACGATTGTTTTTATATGACTCCTAAAGAGAATAATCTATTTATACAGGCCTTGATATAATTCGCTTGTAAGACCTGTGTACTCGAAAACCAACTAAGTGTTTAGCCTAGTCTTACTAAGAAACTCTGGCAGAGTGTTCTTCAATTTAAAATGGTGGACTAACAATGGACTACCAAATAAACAGGCGCTTTTTGCGGGGCTAGCATTCATCTTTTGAACCGGGACATTTTGGGACGGTGATGGTTTTCATCCAGGTCTTGATGTACTATTTTGTGATCTCAACAACCTACATCTAGTATTACGTGTGGAAATATACGAAAGGAAGAGTGCCATGAAATCGATTTGAAAAACTCTAAACTTTGGTCGAAATAACTCTAGTTAAGGCAAAATAAGTATGTTGTCAGCGTAACAAATTCACAAAAGTAATTAATCCACAACAAGTATGAAAATCAGTGAGCTTGTTTGTCTTATATTATACACTTTAGTTAAGGTATGGTGGGGTATTTATACCTTGCTCGTGTTGACGAACTTTAATTTACCGGCCTCTCATCTCACTAGCAGAGGTGTAAAGCGGAAAATGCGAATGATGTGGTTTGCAAGATATTATACAATGATTACAAATCACAAAATTAAATGTCGAATAATGCCAAAAGCATGTAACCTCTCAATATAATAAGTCAAACGAAAAGTACCTTCGATACTAAGAAAACATGAGCAGTCCAACAGAGACCTGTGGATAGACTATATTAAGATAAATAAGCGCTGCTTTTACAGTAGCTTCTCCAATATTCTAGGCTTTGAGCGATCAAAGAAGGGTGTTTGTGATATTCATGTCTTGGTCCAAAAATGGCAGTTTGACGCTTAGAAGGAGACCATAAACAATAGGCAATGGTTAAAAGAACAAATGCACACATTAGTTTCAATGGAAATATGAAGAGACGGAAATTGATGTACATACAGTGAGATCTTCTTACGCAAGAAAAGTGTTTTTTGTAATAATACAGAAAAAATGAGGAAAGGTGAAAGAACGAATGCTTTTGACACACCATGAGTTATTTAAAACGTAGAACTTTCCTAAGTACAATGCACTGTTCACTTCCAGAAACATGAGAAAACAGTCAGTTGTTTATCCATCTAATGGTACTGATGCCATCAAAATTATTAAATAGTACTTGGAACAGATTCAAACATAGAAGTGGTATTGCAACGCGCATCAAACATACTCCCTACAGTTTCCTAAATTGAATAGTATATTACGATACAGGCTAACAACAGCATCCGAAGTATTTCTTTTATACATGTAAGCTTTAGCAGTAAATCTTTAACATTGAAGATGGCCTAGTAGAAAATGCTCGCTTATATTCGCATCAGATCGCGAGTGAATGAACCGTATTAAGTAATCCATGCGACTACTAGCCTGTTTAGATTAAATGATTTCCAACATATCAAAAACCTTCCTAATATATCTTCGAACACACATTTCTGACTTCACTGATATGGTATCCTTGGTTTATGAAGGTGTCAGAACCTGAATATCTGTAGCAACTTTAAATAGTCTAAAGTGAGAGTAGCAATGTCTCTTCATTGTTGTAGGGAAGGTTAAGTTATCACTATGGGCACAAATTTTCCATACTTATTGTCAGAATCTTTTATCGTCATCGAGACTACCTTTATCTCTCTTCACATTTTCGATATGAAGTATGTTGAGGATAAGCATACTCGTGATTGAATGACACAGAACATCAGCTTATTTCTCAAAAAGAAGGTTCAGGACTTCGCGGGGTCTTAAACATGGGTATACAGGAAACAAGGAGTGAGATGACTGACACATGAAAAACTAAAATAAGGTCAACTCACAAAACAATCAGCTGGGAATCATCACCAGTGAGTCACTCGTATTTTAAACAGAGAGGAATGGTTGGTCTAGACAGTCCGCCACCATAGTCGAACTTTAAAGTATCCTGAAAGACAAACCTGGCAACACTGTCCGACCCTAGGTCAGCATTCTGTCACTCGCATACCAAGTGAATGTTATAAGTCACATTATTTTAGCCACACTTCCTCAACCGAAGCTTTCCACAACTATTATCAGTATAGATGTTCGCGTTTGCATTGTTCTCTCGAATTTGCTTTCCTACTCACGAAACCCTCTACCATCGTCCGTTATAAATCGGATGTACTTAAACACGCTTTGTGCACAGTATTAGTACGTTACGCTGTGAACGGAGATACTTCTGCATGCAGCGAGGTGATATTAAACCTTAAACCATGCTTAGAGTCCGGACAATTATCGACTCCTGGTAGTTATGCGAGGTGCGGAAATGCCGAGACTGGGCACCTCTGCCACTGATGTTTAACGTGTTCTTTGACCACAGGTTGAATTTCATAGGAAACTTCATTGAACGCAAGTTTAAAACAGTCAACTTGTCCTTTATATTAACAATGGCTGATATCTTGACTATTCTATCAGGAACAGAGGTACGACTAACTAATCTAGACAGCGGAGCCGTTTTGAAACATCAACTTTTTAAAGTTCGCGATAGACTCTGACAATCCTAGTGGTCTCGCCCCAACTCTTGAGCGATCAGAGCAACTCAGTTTAATCTACCGATGTTGAAGAGATGTAAACCCAGTTCGGCAATAAATTGTTCTAGTTTAAGGCACCATCATGAAGTATAAAGCCCAACCTTTATCGGCTTCTTTCGATGGGATTCACATTTTGCGACAAATTTTCTTCTCTTTAATAATACTTCCACACGACAGAAAATGTTTGGTGGATGATTTTCACTACATGTCAAAAGTTAGCACTTCGGTAGATGTAAAAATGCATAAAGAATAAGACTGTAGAAATTCAGGGTAGATAAAGTGCATACAATAAACAAACGCCCACGAAGACAATATGAAATAACGCTTAAAGGGTTCTTATTATATGAGTCAAACTCAATCTTATTAAATAACCCAAATGCGTTATTTAAGAAATGAATTCAAAGAGTTTACACAAAAAAAATCATTCTTCATCTAACTCTAAAATTGGTGATGCAGTTAAGTGAACAGCTGAAAAGTTACTATTTGTTATACCATCAGCATCGATAGTTTCACGGTGTTTGGGAACAGTTTCGGAAGTTTCCTCATCACATTTTGAAATAACTTTGGAACTTGATGACTGAGAGTGGTTGGATTCGGAATGTAAAATAGGTAAGTTCTCACGATCAGAATCAGAACGAGAATGTACAGGGATATTAGTTTTTGATTCATGAAGAGTGAAGGAATCGTGAAATGTACTTGTACGAATAGATTCGGTTGAATTAGGATTGTTTTGTTCCGAAACCAAGCAACCTGTCGGAGGAAGAGAATAAGTATAACTGTGAGAGTATGAAGAGTTATTAATTAAAATGCTGTGTAGGAAGCTGTCGAAATATTTTTGACCACTATATGGTCGAATAAACTTACTGGAATTCTTGCTGCAATGGTCAACTTCAATCGACGAAGACAATGAACCGTTTGAAGATATGTATGTACTAAGTGTAGGAGTATTAATATCAACACTCGTTTTAGAAGGCGCGTTTTTGACATTTTCTGATTGTTTTGAATTTCCACCACTTGCACGATGACGGCGAGCATCACGTTTACGGAGATTTTTCCTGTGAAACGAATTATCGATAAAAAAGGTAACATCCTCCACAACGAATGATCTTTTAAAGTACGAACACATTATAAATGTTAGAAGTTCCGATCGTGAAAACCATCACAACATATATAAGTGAACATTATTGCTTTCAGTTAGACTGTCATATCGGGCTTTACCTTAAAATACAATAATATCTACCTCCATATATGAAAACTACCAAAAGCAATCAAATCAGTTTATGGGTCAATGATAACAATCAAATAGATTACATAACTAATTACAGAAAGCAGAAAATACGAACTGACAGTAAGATGACAGACATACTGGAAGTGACAGAAATGGCAAAACTTTCAACCAAGGATTCAATACAAGAAGTGCGTCAGAAAATAAGAGAATAGGCATTACAGAAACGATCATTGAAGTCGTGTTAAGTGTGCGGAAGATCTGACAGTGGAGAATACATACAAAAGGAGGTGAAGGAAAACGAACAAAGGATGAGGAAAATCAGTAAAACCGTTTGTCTAGTCTTATCCGACCGAGGAAGAGACGAGAATTAGTAGCCTACGAATATCTTCTACTCTTATCGGCCATGTTTCACTGCTATAAAGTAGGACGAACGAACTGCCGCGCAGTAAACACGTCCTTTGGTTGGTAAACGGATATCTCGCCTACGCCATAAATGATGCGAGTTGGCAAAAGCTAGTTGAGCCTCCTGTATTCGTGCTGAGATTTCGTCACATACCAGACAACAAAGTCTGATGAAACTTCCAAGATAAGTGAAGCGGTCGACACGCTAAACTACTTCACTCCCTATCATTGCAACCCAATCCTGAAGTAAAATTTTGCATTTTGAGGGGAAGAATCGCATCCCGAACATGCTTGCATTGTTGCTTATAGTGGTCAGAAGGCTCTGCATTTTGTCAGCGTCTTCACCAAATAGAACTATGTCATCGGCATATTCTAAGTCAACAGGTGAATCTACCGGTAGAAGTTCGACCCCTGAAAATTTAGATGAGGAAAGTGTCATCTTTAAAAGCACATCAACGACAAAGTTAAACAAGAATGGGGAGCTCTGACGAACACCATTTGATGTAATCAATTCTGACGATAGTTCGCTATAAGCTTTCACTCGACCAGTTGTGTTTGAGTAGAAGCAGCATCAGGAATTCTGGATACACGAGGCGTGAATCGATATGGCACTTTATTTTGATGTGGTGAGGTCAGATAAATGACACTACTCGGATCCTGTATGTGCTTTTCGGAGACGCAACACACATCAATGACGCGAGATTCTAAAGTCCTAGCTAAGGAAACCTATCGTCCAATTTGCCACACTGTTCGGACGTTAAAAGCTCCTACATGAAGTTTGGAGCATGATTTCAGGAGACCGGGAATAACGTCCCACGTACTCGAATTGTTTGCAATAGCGGCGCGAGGTGATAAAGGAACGTGAGAAGGGCTAGTCGTGGAGATAAGAGAGTTATTAAGATGTGTAGGAAGAATTTGATTATGACCAACTTGGTCTTGTGTGCTGCTACGGGTATGAGGGCTGATGTCGATTCCCAGCTGCCCACACCGTGGTAGGGTATTTCTTGAGGACGTTGAAAGTGAAGTCAGATTAGTGTTGGTCTTAATGACCTGGGAGCGTGGCCACAGAGCCCAAGGGACAACTGCTTGGGGCTGGACACACACGGCCTTTTTGTGGGAAGTGTTTAACTTGTTAGCTCCGTTCTTCAAAGGGCCTTACCGCCGGAGACGGAAATCCGTGAGGTAAAGTGAGGTGTGACATTTTTAGGGTCGAACTTTTCTAACTGTATAGTATTGCTCCATGTTTTACATGCTTCACAGTTAGTTTAAAGTAGCCTAGTCTTACTAGTGGTACAGTTATATGCGAAAAACATTTTGACTATCACCGAGTCCAAATGCTAAGTTTACCTTTGTTGTTTACTATTGATAACGTCTTCTAGTAGGAAAATTTTGGGTTCATAAAAGTGTATTCCGTAATGACTATTAGCGAAATCTGAAAACTCGCACCATATTAAACAAGAGAATAACTGGAGTCATAAAGCTAATGATTGAGATTAGACTGACTGAACCTCTGAAATACCCCCCGCAAACTTATTAATTTGATTCAAGTGGTTGTAATAAGCAGATGATCACAATTATCGTTTGACGTTTGCTGAAATTACCCTGTTACTCAGCAAGAAACAAATAGGGTAAGTTCAAAACTTCGACTCAATGATTCATGGTAGTCTCTAAACTCCTAGGCTGTCTCCAAGCAAAACAGTAATCAGTTTACTAATAAACTTTGGTTACAGCCAAACAACGAATAATAATTAAAATTCACGACAACATTATACTTACCGCAAATTGCACAATGTATGATGCAGTGTTTCTACTGTATCCCTAGGTGAGAAATCTACATGTTGATCACGTTGACAGAAACTCACTGATCTTACTCGTTGTCTACATATAGGCAAATGAGGATAACATTGACTTATTGTCCCTGATAATTTATCACTAGATATACATCGTCGAAAATCAGATTTTGATAGTACTGAATCGTGATTTTCATCACTACTTGCGGTAGGAAATTCATCCGATGTTAAAGGATGCTCTCTATTACTAGCCAGACCGGCATCACGTAAAATATTACCTTCTAAAATAGTCATTTCATCTCCGCTAGATTCTGAACAGTAAATAGATGAAGATATAAAACATGTAAAAACAAAAATGGTGACATGAATCATATTTTAAAAGTAATAAAATTTTATTATTATTAAAAGTGAAGTAGCAAAACTGTACTTTTAAGCAACAAGTATACGGTTTTAACAATAGTGAATAAGTATCATACAACTAATATAATTTATCACAGGTCTCTAAATCAGTGCTCGCATCTTTAAACTTATAAATACTAAATGACATCTAGTTGACTTAAATGTTATAAACCAATAATCTTATTGTGATAAATAACAAACAAAGCTCTTGAAGCTGCTACAGTACTATTTAAAATGTGTAATGAGTGCCAACTTCCTATATACGTTGTAAGATCTAGTGAACATACCTTAGATACAAAATGGGGCTAGTCTCAATTTAAAAAAGCACTAAGTATTGTGAGCTTAATATAGGCATAGAATATACAATCATAATAGTGTTGAATCGATTACAGGTGTACCGACTTGTTTTATCCGTCTTCAAATTTTAAAAGTAATAGTATTTTATTAAGTTTATTTTCTGAAGTAACAGCGTTTTTTGACTTTTTATTTTACATTATTTTCATGCATTTGTTGTTAACTTGGCCAATTTGTGTGATTTGGATACAATCATCTATAATGTGATACTTTAGACTGATATATGGTCTTTTAGAATCAATTTTAATGTTAAATCTCTGTGTGTATGGAGCACCCAAATGCTTTGGTATGACCGAGTGTGGGGAGAGTTAGCCGGTCATACGCATACAGCCACTGCCAGGGAAGTCCCACTCACTGCCTTCTCGAGGCAGGGTGTTGTTTATGAAAAGTGAATGTCCGGTGCTTTAACTGGGTTGGTGGATAGGCAGGATCCACCTAGGGGAGACGGAAAACCCTGATTCCAAACAAATGGTGCACATAGGCTCCAGGATCCTGAGGAAACAAATGGTGTATGAACCTATTGTTGGTCACCGGCTCCCGTGGGACTGCATCTCCTGACGTTGCTCCACTGCCTTGTGGATTAGACCTTTAGGTCAAAAGCTCCGGGTGTGATCCCTAAGAAAATTACCTACTTCGGTTCGGGCACCCGGGCATAAACCGAATGATTTATGTGGCGCATATCTACTTGGTGCCTCCTTGTACCAATGTTTATGTGTTTAAATAAATAAATAGTATAAGTATTATTACGCAATATTGGAAAACCACGAAATTGTTTCTTAATGGTTACTTTAAATAATAGTTTTATTTTATGAACATTCAGTGGAAATGATCGTATAGATTTTGGTAGTCAATATTCAACAACACCATGACTGCATTACGAATTAGGAAGTGTCAAATGTTGAATCTTGACTAAATAATCTGAAAACAACATGCTTACTGTGAAATATGAAAGTCTTTAGTTTGATCTAATGTGACTTTATGGGTGTACAATGTGAAAATGATGACACAAACGCTTAGTATTCGTTAGTTTCCAATGATCATTCGGTTGATCTAAGTTCATGATGAAAATGATAAAATTCTAAATATGATTCAAACAAAGGAGTCCATAAGTTTAACATTAAGACAAGCCATTTTAAATCCGTTAAAATTTGATCAAATATTCGTGACTATCAATAAGCATACAGTTGGAATTCACAAGATAAGCTGCAAATAATAAACACATCAAACAACAATACCACAATAAGAGTATAAAATTAAGTTATGTTATTTACCTGATATTGAACGTTGTTTCAAAATACTCTTTAATACTGGTCCAGTCTGACCTGGATTACCAGGAGTTGAATTACACCTGAGACGTCTGACAATGTAATTATCATTATTATTCTCGTTAGTTATATGTTGATTTATTAAATTTGACTGATGATTAGATATAAAACAAGAGTCATTTATTTTCATAAGGTTACAGTTTAAGTCGGTTTTCGAACCTATAAATTCAACAGTAGGATCCCATTCTATGGAACAACATTTATCTGACAATGAGGTGACATTTACAGACTTTAAACTTTGCTGATTCAATGTACAACTTTTATGAAGTAACCGATTATTGACTGATGGTTCAGAGGATAAACTATTATTGATTGAAGATACTTCATTGGTCAGTTGAGTAGAGGAGAAAACACCATCACGATAACAGTTATCAGAAGTTTCATTAACATCGGTAAGTAGAAAATTATTTTGTCTATAATGTGGTGTGAACGATTCCATTCCAATGAATGAACACTCCTAATTATGTAGAAAAACACAGAGTACCAACGATAATAATGAAGTTTAAATACAGATTATTGTAAATTATAAAGTGGAATTCTTTCAAGTCTCAAATTAATGAGTTTAAAAAAATTAAAATTTCAACCTACCAAAATCAAATCCTCGGGGCATTTTAAGTTATTAATAAGAGTGATAGGTACCAAGTAGTTCAATTTTGATACAGTTAAGTGAAATACAGAGTGTTGGAGAACTCTTTTATGCCCTTAGAACCAATGATACATTTGTATAGGGTTTAATAAATGCAAAATACTTGCTGTAAACATACTTAAGAAGTCGATGAGAAATGACAGTTAACTTCCAAGTCAAGTAATGCAGTTAGTATGGGATTGAAGATGTTCCCATCCTACTTTCTTCATATATGGTTGATCAGAATTAATTTTACATGATTTCGACTCATAAGATCATTTCACTTTAGCATTCTAAACGGAATCACAATTATTACCTGAACAGTTAACTATGTATAACATAACTATGTACGTACATGAACATGTTATTAAGTACAACTTATACCAAAGTATTTTTCTAAAATAAACATTTTTAATAAACTGATATAGGTTAATGAGGAGAGAAATTGTATTTCTGATGTTTCGTGAATTAATGTAAGCCACTTAATGTAGGCCCCCAAATGCCCTGGTACGGCCGAGAGTGGGGAGAGTCAGCTCTCTCTCGAAATGCTTTCACATGGCCACGCGTGTATAGTCTCTGCCAGGGAAGTCCTACTCACTGCCTTCTCGTGGCGGGGATATTGTTTACAAAATTGAAAGGACGAAAAGCGAATGTACGGCGATTTAACCGGGTTGGGGACACGGAAAGTCCACCTAGGCGAGTTGGAAAACTGTTATACCCCGATAATAATGAGTGGTAACTTTTGGGATCTATTGATGGACTAATACTAAACGTATATTTCTATTGTATAATTATTAAGCAACTAAACTATGCATATTCATATTCCTCTTACTATAAGCTTTATTTTGACCCATAAACTATTATTATACGTGTCACCATTCTTGAGTTATACCCAGCATATTAATTACTACCTCCCTCATTCACAGCCACATCTGGCTAATTCTTTAACAAATGTTGTTTCATATTTTATTGGTACGTTGTGGTCTGTTTAATTGGTATATAAACTCAGTATGTTTGAAGTATAATGATTCATATCACAGAGGCTGAGATTGGTGTTCTAGACTTAACTAGCTGGGCTAGGCGGAAGGGAGGACCAATCAGGACTCTAGGTTGCTCGTACGTGTTTACGCGTCCTTGGTCCGATCGATAATTCACTGCTCTCTAATCGGTGGTCACAAGTTATAACAAATAGCGCACATGGGCTTCAGTATCCTGAGGAAAAAAATGGCGTATGAACCAATCGTTGGTCACCGGCTCCCGTGGGACTGCATCCCCTGACGTTGCTCCACTGTCTTGTGGACCAGACCTTTAAATCGAAGGCTCCGGGTGTGGCTCCCTAAGAAAACCACCTGCTTTGGTTTGGGCACCCAGGCAGTATCACAGCCCTCACACAAATCGGATGATTTATGCGGCGCATATCTATTTGGCGCCTCATTGTACCAATGTTTATGTGTTTAAATAAATAAATAACATTTATACGACTTGTTTCAAGATATAAGTACACCAAGTTATTACATCTTAAGTTTGACGGAAATGTTGCGGTTTTGCGTTTAATGATTTAAAAAAACGGTTGTTAAAATAAATAGAATGTTTTTGTCTTTCCAAATTTATTTCACTGGATTATACTCCTTAAATAACATCTTCAAACCATGATGTTTGTGATTACTTTTCGAACTATTCTTGGGATTTTAAGCAAAGATGAATAGTGGCTAGCAGTGGAATCCAAGACGGGGGTTCCGCTGACGAGTCCCAAATAGGACAAAACGCGCGTCCTGGATTCCACTGGTAGCCACTATCCATCGTTGCTTAGAATACTTGTGAATTAAGGCAATACGCACAGTATGCACATATGCCAATAAGATACTGATCAATTGTAGTCCTAAACATCAATGGGAAGATTCAAGTAAACAATACTAAGTGAATTTATTTTTAGGATTATTATATTTTTATTGTACAGCTAATAAACACCTATATTACTGTACTTCTATGTTCTCCTTATTGCAAGCTTTTAGTGAACCTATTAACTATCGTTATATATTTTACTATTCATTAATTATTGTTAATTAAATGTGTACTGCTTGTTTTGCTCTCTACCACTTACAGCATGGTTGTGTTTAAAATATGATTAATTATCTAGTGCGAAACGTAGTTCAATTGTTTCTGTATATAAACCAATGAGTGTTTGGGATCGAAGAAATTCTAATCAAAATTCTGATCGATGACCTTGACTCGTGATATTAATTGGCATCTTCAATCATAACGAGGTTATTATCAAAAACAGCAGCTTAACTCACTTCCATACCAGCTGTTAAAGTGCGCCCAGTTGCAACTGATGTCCACCAAACAGCACGACTTGATAACATTTCACTAAATAACTTCTTGTTCATAGATAGATTATCACAGTTACACGAAGGTTTACGAATAACCAAAACTCCATTTGTTGGAGAAATATGACAGGATATTATCTGTGGTCGTAGGGAAGATTCACTGGCTCCATAGGAGTTAAATGAATCTGTAATACCGTTAAGTGTATATTCATATTTGTTGGTTGTGGAAGAGGACGGACATTGTAATACTATGCCCCAGTCCATAGTAAACCCACCGGACCCACAACTTGAAAAAGTGATTAGTAAAAGTAACTGAGATGAAGATGAATCAGGCATATCAGTATTATCGGGTAATTTGAAATGCAGAGGATCAGTCCAATTTATCATGAATGATTTAGGCAAAATACCACGCACATCCAATAAAACAGTTAAGGAGAATGGATCTTGTCGAAAACGAACTGGTGCTAAGCGTCTTTAAATTAAATTAATAAAAAAAACAGATTAAGTCAAATATCCAAAAATCACATAATTATCTATGTTTATAAAAGATTTTTAGATAAATAGTTTTGCAAATAAATATTTTTAACATTCTCTTCAACAGATACTATCCTTCTAGACAGCAAATTCGACGTAAAATCTTTAAAGTAAATTAAAAATGTGTTGGGGATGTTAGATTCCCAGAACTCACTTGGTAAATACCTTAATTTTGTAATTTTATTTTGAAAATCTGAACTTCCTTGTTTCCGCGCCAAAAGCGCTCTTTTCACCTTCACGTCGTATTTCCCACTTGGGAGAATCTTTGAAGCCATTGGTCCGTTGTATATTTTAGTTCGCTATTTTTTAACGCTTCCAAAGGACAGTTTTATGCTGTATATATAAGTTTGATTTGTGTCAGTTGTTATCGCTCGCGCTTCTGGATACTTGTGGAATATACTTCCGCGTTCCAAACTTCGAATTCTCTGTCTAGTTAGCGGGACCGGGACGCATCAGAATATGTAGTTTATTGGTCATAGGTCACAGAGTCTTTGTTCCGTTCGCAGACTAGGTGAACTCGTAATCGCTTTAAATATGGCAAAATGATAGTCGTAATAATGTCATCATAAACAGTTTGCAAGCCAGAATAGCTTATTCCAGCGACTCATTTTTTAAACTGTTCTAGAAACAAAATCTAAACGTTACTCATCACTTCATTGATATCTTGAAAAGAATGATGCTTGTCCATATCTAGAAGTATGGTGATTTCATATGACCATTAAATCTATGTAGTTAATCTAGTTATTTCAACACAGTATTTACTCGCTTCAATTTTTTTCTGTTAACGTAGCTCGTGTTAACGGTTTATAGACAGATGGTATTAATTTTCTTAGTACAACAATGACGAATAAATTTAATAACTTTTAGCTCACATAATCAGTTTTGAATAAACAGTATGCTACATTAACTAGAAATAGCATGTCGCGTGTATAAAGCAACTGAGTAAGATTTGAGTAAATTCGATCTGACTAGTTTAGTGACTGTATGGAGGACACATCGGTGAGAATAATGGCAATCAACTTCAACACTACAAAAAATGAAGGAACTTTCTTCTTGGAAAAAGTCTCACAAGTTTTAAGGACAGTTTAACAACAGCATAAGTCTATCGAGTAAACACGAGTACAAAGACTAATTTACTAAAACACTCTACTCGAAGCTTTAAGATACTTGGAGTTATTTGAAATGCTTAAAAAGATCATTAAACTGCTTTCACTATTTTTATGCATTTTAAAAGTAACTTTATAACATTACAATCTAGTTGAAAACACATAGAAACTGGTTAGACTGTTCAAGAGACCTGAGTGATTAAAAAATTGAGCTAAGTCACTGATTCATTGAAGAAAACAAACTACAATTAAATAACAGGGATAAAATAATAATCAAAAGTATAATGAGTTAATGAGTTGACTGTAAATACGATAGAGAAACAACTCACTGAACAAGAGATAAGAAAATAATACCGATTCCAACAACTGGATTTTAGCACCGAACAAAGTTATGAGCGTGAGTAAAATTTATTGACATATCATCTAGGACACATTAGTCAGAAACGCTTGAAGTTTTAAATACAATACAAATCAACAGTCCGTGTCTCTAAACATCATACCAGCTACTACCTTGGTGAGGTGATCGGACCTGCGTATCGTAATGACCCAATCGCGGTATATTAGTTGAAACACTCTTTCGTTTAGGTCCTAACATCCAAGGTAGGTTGGTCAGGGAACGGTAAAACTAAGAGTAACAACTTAAGGTTATAGGGCGAAGTTGTATTACTGATTGAACCGGAGTGTGACGCTAGTAAGATGTTTCTCCCGGACAACTAGCATCCGAAACGGAGCTGTTTTACCACGATCAAAGGTGTGGTTAGAAAAGTTTGACCCTCAAAATAACACACCTCATCTTGCCAAAGGGATTTCTATAGTCTGAATTAAGACCTTGAAAGTACGGAGCTACTCACAAAAATACCGCTTCTGACAGGTCCCAGGCAGTTGTCTCCTGGGTTCTGTGGTCATGCTTTAAAGTGACCAAGACTACTATTGATCCGGTTTCCCTTTGATATACCTCAAGAATAAGTATCCTTCTGCAGCTTAAAAATCACCCACAGGCCTTTAAAAACACTCGAGATCATTAAAAGTAAACTACCCTGACAATCTAAAATTTAAAAGATGGAAGTCTAGTGCCTTAACTACTACATTACCTCATGTACATGTGAGTGAAGGTTGGATATACATAGTTTATCACGACCAAAGCCATATTCACTTAGATAACGAACAAAAGTAATCACATCCATACTACTACTAATAATAGTCGTAAAAAAATATTTCTTAATACCACTCCAGAGATAGGATTCATTACCTATCTTTGGACAAAATCATTTCACAACTTGGAACCTGGTTTACTTTGATTTCAACGCCCGGGGAATTTGATGAACTGAAAACAGTAGATAATTGAGACGTTGTAATTTGGTTTTCGTTTTCTATGTTCTTCTCATTTTCGCACAACTTTTCATACGTATTTGTTAACTGCTCAGATTGCTTTTCTGTTTGCGTTACAGACTTATCAACGGCAACAACAGAAGATACGGGTAGATTAAAATTAGGACATTTTGAAACTGAAGATCCACCATCAGATGAAGTATCCATTGAGCTTTCTGTAACAATATTTGCTTTAGTTCGTTGTTTCCGACGTTTTCGACGTGCACGTTTTCGAGTTGCTGCATTTAATGTAACTGATTCAAGATCAGAAGTGTTTGTTGTGGAACTGCATTCAACAGATTTCGTTTCGTTCTCTACAACTTTTTCATCATCACCATTTATACTACTGTCAGTAGGCTTACAAGTAGTTGATTTCACGTTTTTAACAATCGGTAGTGTAATACATAGAGTGTGAGTAGATTTATCAAATTTTGCTGTTCCTTCAGCATCTTTCACTTTATAGGGTAATTTCAGGTCAAGCAAATATGCAATTGGTTTTCGACTCTGCAAATTTATTTCAAAAAATAAAAAGACTAAAAAAGTGACATCATCCAGAATGTGTAAACTGTAAAATTAATGAATAGTATAAACTAAGTTATAAAGATAAAATCGAACGATCAGTTGAATACAAGTCTGCATATTAAGCTGCAAATCAAACATTTGGTGTGCATATTTGAGTTAAATTAACTGAGTAATAAGATTCGAAAATATAACTTGATCCGAAACAGTCAATACTATGCTTTGAAATCAACAAGGGATAGGAACTGATTGATGATATGGACACTATTAGAACACGGAAGTTCCCTAAACAAAGTTTACAAAATAATCCAGAGACAACAATGAAGTCCCTTAAAACAAACAGACATTGACGAAGATTATACCATCACGAGTATCTGTCGTTTTTTCTATAACACAGGCTATCGATTGTCATTTATACTATCTTGAAATATGATTACTTTCATATATGGTTTGTTTTGTCCCATTTATATTTACTTCATGAATCTTTAAAAATTGTGAAATTTATATATACTACAGTACAAGAAATCACAAATACAAAAATACGAGAGAATAACTTAGTATTCTTGAACGTCTAGCGCAATTCTGAAGAAAACATTTACGTAAGGAAAAACGATATTAATTCACTAAAATTACTACTGACGTTAAATAAACCATCGGTTGCTATCATCTCCTGGTCCCCAAACAGGTAGTCTACACCTACCAACATGCCTCAGTCCACTTGTCAGTGACTTCATGGACTTGTGCCATGTTTTGGTTTGGCCGCCTCTAGCTTTCTTCCAACCTACTCCTATACCACTGGACATAGCACGTCGAGGTAGTCGGTGGTTGGGCATACGTAACACGTGTCCCAGCCATCTCAAATGATCAAGTTTCACTACTTCATCAATTGATTTGCCATCCTTACCTAGTACCCGTTTCCTAACAACTGTGTTACTTACTCGATGGTCCCATGATATACGAGCAATGTTTCGAAGACACCTATGATCAAATACTAGTAGCCTACGGATATCCTCTACTCTTATCGGCCATGTTTCACTGCCATAAAGTAGGACGGGACGAACTGCTGCGCAGTAAACACGTCCTTTGGTTGATAGACGGATATCTCGCCTACGCCATAAATTACGCAAGTTGGCAAAAGCTAGTCGAGCCTTCTGTATCCGTGCTGAGATTTCGTCACACACCAGACCACAAGGGCTGATGAGACTTCCAAGATAAGTGAAGCGGTCGACACACTCAACTACTTCACTCCCTGTCACTAGTTCGGATGTCGATGTAACCCAATCCTGAAGCAGCATTTTGCATTTCGAGGGAGAGAATCGCATCCCGAACATGCTTGCATTGTTGCTTAGAGTGGTCAGAAGACTGCATTTTGTCAGCGTCTTCACCAAATAAAACTATATCATCAGCATATTCTAAGTCAACAAGTGAACCTCCCGGTACAAGTTCAACCTCTGGAAATTTAGACGAGGATAGTGTTATCTCTAAAAGTACGTCGACCACAAAGTTGAACAAGAATGGAGAGAGTGGACAGCCCTGACGAACACCACTTGACGTAATCAATTCTGATGACAGTTCGCCATAAGCTCTCACTCTACCAGTTGTGTTCGAGTAGAGAGTCTTTATAAGGTTAATGTACTCACTGCCATAGAACTTCACGATCAACAGAGTCGAATGCCGCCTTAAGGTCGAGAAATACTACCATTGTGGGGCGTCTAAATGTGTGTCTGTGTTCTAGAACCTGACGTAGTGTGAATATCTGATCTATACAACCACGTCCAGGTCGAAAACCGGCCTGGTTTTCTCTAATCTGCTCTTCACGAGCTTTGATTAGGCGTCAAAGTATTATTGAGGCTAATATTTTAGACAATATATTAGTCAAACTGATTTCTCTGATTGTCACAAGAGGACTTTTGTCCTTTCTAATAGGCTGGCACAATCAGTGATTGAGACCAGTCAGATTGGATTACGTCCAGTCCCCAAATTCTACCTAAGACCTCGGTTAATCTCATTGCTAATACTAGACCACCATCCTTAAAAATCTCAGGAGTAAACCTGTCAGGGCCTGGTGCTCTCCCTCGTTTCAGATTTCCTATGGCTTTTTCAACTTCATGAAGGGACGGAGGACCTACATTAACTTGCCATTCAGGTTGACTAGAGATCGTGGGAAACCGAAGTGTGGCTGAAGGCCAGTTGAACTGATCCCTAAAGTGTTCTGCCCATCGATCCAATCTCCTGGATTGAGAATGTATAATATGTCCATCTTTCTCTGAGATTGTTTCGCTAACAGTCGGTTTCCTAATACCAGTTTCCTTAACAAGTCTGAACAATTGTCTGCTATTACCTATTGCCGCTGCCTTTTCCATCTCTCTTGCTTTCGCTACCCACCACTGTTCGCGATCATTGCGTAGGCTTCTTTTCAGCTTGTGCTCAAGCTGACTCCGCTCTTCATTATGTTCAGAGCCAGGTGGAATGAGTTTCCGAGCATCTATCAGTGCGATAGATGCTGCCGAGATCCAGTGTTGCTCCCTAACCTTCTGGTTTACCTTACTAGCAGATATCACTGCTGTTTCCACAGCTTTTCGGATAACATTTCATGCTGCATCGGGGTGGGCATCACATACGTGGCTGCCTAACTGTTTTCCTAGTTGTTCCTGAAATATACTCTTAGCTTGACTATCATTAAGTAGGCCCCTAAGAAGTTTCCTTGCAGCGTCTTTCCTACGTCCAGTAAGACGCAAGCAAATACGCGCTCGCACTAGAGCATGATCTTAATCTAAGCATGTGCTCCAGAATGAGCGACAGCCTTCTATCGAGCCCCTCCATCGGTGGCTGATAGCGATGTGATCTATTTGGGTCCAACGTTGGGACGAATTAGGGGGTCGCCATGTTAAAAAATGTTTTTTCTTATGCTTAAAGTTAGTATTTGCAAGGAACAGGCGGTTATCTGAGCATAGCTGCAACAAACGGTCGCCATTATCTGTTCTTTGAGCGACGACACCATAAGATCCACCTAGGTGTCTTTCCCCATCGCTTAGTTTACCTACTTGAGCATTAAAGTCACCGGCCACTGACTTAGATATCAACACTACAACTGATGATTCTTGAAACAAAGCGATTACTATCCTTTTCTTATCTGTAAGAATCTTTCCCCCCCCCCTCTAAAACTGTGTTGACTTCGTATGTGACAGATTCTCAATGGAACATCAAAAACTTCATCTCGAAACAAATAACTAGTGAACATTTGAACATTATTTAACTTAGTATCCATGGAAAATTATTTAATCTGAAAATAGTTTTCGTGATGGACTAATGTCATATAAACATAAACTAGGGAAATATTTACACATTTTAGTGAGAAGCTATAACTTCAGAAATTAGACCAATTAAAAGAGAAGTGGGAGGTATCCAGTCACCACAGGATAATATTCACACCATATTATGAAATATTTTGATAATTTATCTATTTATGACTGAGCTTTTAGTTGTGAACTGAACAAGTTTGGATCGATAATGTAAATCAATATTTCCTTTCTTTTCATTCTTGCATTCTTACATAACATAAATTTCTAAAATTGATTAAATTTTTCAGTATCATTGAGATTGAATTCATTTTAAAGTGAATAATGACTTATCAATAACTGATAATTGCTCAATATATATACTTTAGTAGCAGATTTATTCATAAGAAATAGACTGAATGTATCCTTATATATATATATATTTTTATAAACAGACACTGGATTACAGCTTGGTAAATAAAACAGTATTAAATTACCTAGATGAAGCTAGTTTCGCATATACCGATAATACTTTGATCAGTTGCTTGTGTATATAAATGATCTTAGATGGTGGTTGAAGGTAGTCGACAGGAAACCCTGGACCCGGGTTCCGTGCTACTTGGCACTCGTCAGCAAGGTGTACCTGTAATCTTGAGGGAACTGGTGCTCCCTGGCGGATTCGATCTCGTGTCACCCAGCTTCACAGTCAGAGACGTTATCACTGAGCTATCCGAGCCGCGACCGACCTCCTGTAGGACTGAGATGTAATCATAATTGATTGATTACTGGGTGACGATCAATGTCATGCGTGTCTAGTCCTTATAAATGATCTCATATTCATAACGTCTCAACTTTACTCATTCAATGGCAACAACCAAAATATACTTCAAATACTGAATCCACCAAAAAATTCAGACGGCACAGTTTTCAACAATTTGATACGGGTTATAAATAAACGACATAAGAACTATTTATAAAGTAGTTTGGGAGTAAAACACAACTGGGTTTTAATTAAGCCGAAATATATTACAATACAACTAGTAATATGAGAGATTCTTAAGGATCAAAGAGTTTTTAAAGAATACCTGGAAATCTGCTGGTTTCCTAGTAAACTATTAGGAATGTTTCAACATTACGTAGTGAACGACCTTTATACAATGATGCAAAAGAGTATAGAGAGAATACATTGCAAATTCTGCTAGTGTGCACAATTTTTCAGTAGTGCAATTGAGTGCCATTTACTTAACAGTGGCTTCGAGATAATTCATAAACAAAGAAGGTCAGACTTAGTATGTTTTACTGAAGCAGTTAACGTAAGAAAACTAAAAACAAATATTTACATCTAAAAAGACTCAGTTATCAATCTTGCTTTGTCATGATGACCTCATTGATAAATGTTTATAAATAGTTGAAATCATGAGTCGATCTATGCTAGAACACCACTGAAAACCTGGAAGGCCATCTCGTCCTAATATAGGATTCCTTAGCAGTGCGCATCCACGATTGTGCACGTGGGACTCAAACCCAGGACCTTCGGCCTCGAGTGCGCGCAAACGCTTAGCCTTTAGACCATTGAGTCGGCATCCAGCGGTGTTAATGTCTAGGCTCAATCAATCCATAATCATACTTAACCCTTCATCCATTGTCTGAGGTAGATGCCTGTTTCTACTCGACACGGATTGGATTCCACTGATCCAGAATAGACTCGTGAATCCGACTATTAAAAATTACTACAATCTCTACGAACCCACATCCTAATAAAGATGTTTATTACGCACTTTTTTCTCTTTATAACGGTAATTATTAACTCAAACTTACTCAATCGATGCTCGGTTAGTCAACTTTATTTTATTTCATGTTTTAAGCATTATATAAATATAACACTAATATTTCATTTAGACGCATAAACATTGGTACAAAGATGCACCAAAAATACATATACGCCACATGGAATTTGTGAGGGCCCGGATACCTCTGGGGCACCCACACTGAGACGAGACGTTCTCTCAGTGGACCGATCCCAAAGCCTTTGACGTACATGTCTAGTCCACCAGCCAGTTGAGCAGCCTTGTGAGATTCGGTCTCATGGAAGCAAGTAATGACAATGAATATGTCCACACGCCGTTTGTTTCCTCATAATCTTGGAGGCTATGCTCACCATTGATTTGAATCTCGAGTTTCCTATCTCTACTAGGTGGATCCTTCATGCCCACTAACCCCATCTAAGCACCGCATATTCCAATTCTAAACAATTGTGGTCCATTACTTCCAGTTTTTATTTTAGAGTATTTATATATTCATAGAGTCCCTTTAACCTATAAATAATCGATTAAAATCATGAACTGATATAAGACCACCATCGAAAACCTGGAAGCACTGGACATCCGTTTCATTCTGGTATGGGACTCCTGATCAGTGTTTATTCACGCGTGGGAATCGAATCCAGGACCTTCGGTCTTACGCGCGGACCCCCCAGACCACAACAACTTCCACAACCCTATACTTAAAATTATCATGTGTTTACTAGTGACTAGTTTCGAGAGGAAATTACCGGAGCTCTAGTGAGAAGCCGTTAATAATCGAGTATAACCGTATTGGGTATCAGGTAGTTATCCACTTAAGACAATGGAAGATGGTTGCTTAATGACAGGGGCTGATTAAAGTTAGAGATTAACTCTGCTGGATCCCGGCTCAGTGGTCTAGAGCCTAAACGTTCGCGCGTGACCAGAGGTCCACGGTAGCGGGCGCGCACCGATGAGGAGTCTCGAATTAAAACGAGACGGCAGTCCTGTGCATCTAGGTTTTTGATAATGGTCTAACTCAGACTGGTTTATGATCTTAATGACATTCAACAATCTCTACAACCCCATAGTAACTTTAAATATTTGCATTTAAACGTCGCTCATAATTCTTGACTATTTATTGTTTGTTTTATTAGTCTTCAGTGATGAGAAATCCTCCAATATTATGGTATAAATTATATACACTAATGATTGATATTATTTTTAAGTTTCAAGCAGCCTATGGGAAACCGAGAAATAAAAATTCGTGTTATTTGCTACCGTCAGAGTCATTGATTTAGTCAGATTCTGTGAATGACTCGTTGGATAAATATAAATGGATCTGTACAGCTTCGGCTAATTACAGATATAATTAATTTTTAATATAACACAGCTCAGTAATTCACTGAAGATTTCTGTACTCAAATCCCAGTCGCCTTTTCATGTGACGGCTATTGATACTATTTAGTAGTATTAACCGAAGTAGAACCCGGTTTTGGATTTGCTACCTCGCGGTTGAAAATCAAACGTCTTGACCAACAAACTAGCCTTCAAGTCGTGCAAAAAGCTATATACATTCAACTTTTTATTGCTCAAAATTTATACAAGATAAGCAGTGAGATAATTAGGATAGAAAAGTGCGCATAGAGAAGAGAGGAAAATAGGTGCAGTAAAAATCATTTAAAAATAATTAAACTTATAAAACTTACACTCAAATGTATGTGCATTTCTGTCACTTCCAAGTCAACACATGAAGAGGAACTTAAACCAGGCAATTTAACATTGATTTTTAAACGATCGGGTGGACGTAAAGGATTCACATCATTAGAATTTCGACAGTTACTTAGGTCAAAATCTGAACTGTATGTTATAGAATAATCAGGTTTAGTAGGTGTACTTATTTTATCCGATTTGACAGTCTCTAGAATTAGAACAGAAACAGCATAGTAAATATACACTGCACCACAAAATGTAACTTGTTCACGTTCATAGATAGTTTGTGGCAGTTTATGCTTATTAAATTTTTGAAACTTCAGTGTTGATTTTCAGTGCGTGTTTAGTAATGATGTAAATATGTTTTTATCTAGGGGCGGCTAAACCAACATGTGGCATCAGTCGGTGAAGTCACTGACTCTTGGTATGATCCATATTGATAAATAAAGACTACCTGGTTAGGGTTCGTGTGATGATCGCGACCAGTGATTTGAAGACTCTGGGTAACATGGCTCAAAATTGTTTGCAAAGGCGCAGACGCATTCACTCTTTATTTTCCTCTCGATCTTGAATTACATTGTCTCTTCATACATGTCTTTCCAATCTGTCTTCTCAACACATATTCCCAAGGTTTAATCTTTCTCCTTATAATTGCTACTAAATTATTTTGGTACGTTCTGTTATTTTTATATCGCCATGCTAATTGGGTACATAAACTTGGGGCAAAGCAGATCTGTACCAAACTCTATGTTGATAATGTCTACCGGTGTAATACGAAGAAGCCAGCCCTTTAACCTTTAACCCGTACAGTTAGTTAATAAAAGTCTTTATTTACTGAATCTTCGACCTAGTGGGAAGGAACTTTGTAAATATCAGAATATGGTAAATTACTTGAATCTTAAGTTATACATTTAAGATTATTAAAACTCGGAGACCAAAAGTAAAGGTTAATGGATATAAGACTACTAGAATTAATATATTTTGAACTGAAAATATTTGAAATATCATATCAGAGATATTGGTTAGCAAAACTGGTAATGACAAGATATACGATGAGTTATTTGTTGTAAATTTCTTTAGATAATTTTGCTTTGCATCTTCTGAGTACTTTTTGAAGCGATAAACAATTTTTTTATGAATAAAACTAACCTCAGACAAGATATTTTTCAATTGGGGAGTCATCATTAACATGATAAACGTTCAGGAATTATTTCGCCATTAGCTGCTGTTATGAATAATCAGTGAAAGATTCTGGCTTCGAGTCCCATATGCGCAATCGTGGATGCGCACTGCTAAGGAAGCCCGTATTAGAAAGAAATAGCCGTCCAGTGCTTCCTAGTTGTTAATAGTGATCTAGCATAGATCAATAAGTGATTTCAACTGTGAAAATACTACAATCTTCACAAATCCCAATACTAATTTAAATTTTAGTCGTAAATAATTGACTCATGAGGACTCATACTGATTGATCCTGGGTACTACAAAGTAAAAACGTGACGTAAACCCTAAGGCTGAACAGAACACTTTAAGCAACTGTGTAACTTACTTCTGACCATTCCTTCAAGTTACCCATCATCTAATCATACTTTTGAAAAACACCTCACAAATCGTAGCAAAGTATTGAAAATGAAAACAAAACCCAGTGTTATTAAGCATCAATTCGCGAGATTGATTGTATATATCTTTAGAAGTTAACAGAAAATGAGAGTCAGACTTCTCTGTAAGCTAGCATGTTGATATTACAAAGAAACTTCTAAACTTTAAGACTGATAGTTATCAAGTGCATGTTCCGAAAGGTAGCTTATTATTTATCTCACTTTTTTAAGGACTACTCAAATAGGTATATCACTGATTAGTGCAATAAATAATATAGCTCGTTTTGGTGACTAATACAACGAATTGAAGTCTGAAAACATTTAGTAACGACGTAAGATGCTACTTCATAGCTGATCAACCTAGGTTGGCTATAGAGAGTAAATTATTTGAGTACGTCGACCACTTAAATTATCCTGAAAGTCAGTCATAACGTGGAAACTAGTACTTATGTACATCGGTTCAAGTTGCCATACTCCATTAGCAAAGAGAGATGAAATCGTCAGGTAAAATCCCAGAATGGTAATAAGATTATCAGTGGTTATATGAAAGACTAGGCATCAAAAATACGATTCGAGAAAACTTAAACCACCTCAGATGATAAATATTTACTGCCTCGACAATCGATTTTCCATCATTACCTAATACTCCATTCCTAACCCATGCATTGTTTATTCCGTGGTCCCAAAATACACGAGCAGTGCTTCGTATACACGTGTGACCAAATACCAGTAACCCATGAATATCGTCTATTCCTAATGAGTTTCACACCCGTAAAGTAAAACGGAACGAACTGGTGCGCAGTAAACTCGCCCTTTGGTTGGCAGACTGACACTTCGCTTACGCCACAAGTGACACAAGTTGGCAAAAGCCAACAGAACCTTCTAAATCCATTCAGAAATTTCGTCAGGCACCAGACCATCAGTACTGATGAGAATTCCGAGATAAGTGAAGTGGTCGATGCGTCCAATAACTTCATTCCCTATCACTAATTGAGATAATGACCCAAATCAATCCTGAATTAACATTTTAAATTTGGGGGAGACAACCACATTTCAAACATGCTTGGATTTTTCCTTAAGGTGGTCAGAAGACTGGATTTTTTCAGTGTATTCATGAAACAGAACTATATCATTTACATATTCTAAGTCAAGTGAATCACCTGGTAGAAGATCAATTGAAAAGTCAAACGATGAGTGTTATCTCTAAAAGCATGTCCATGTCAAAGTTAAATAAAAATAGAGAAAGTGGACAATCCCGACGAACACCACTTGAAGGAACAAACTCCGATGACAGTTCACCATAATTTGTGACTCAACCAGTAGTTTTCAAATGGAGAGCCTGCGCAAGGCTAATGTACTTTTTTGGTACACCTCTTAAAGAGACACTACCACAAAATCTCACGACCATCAGTGTTCGACTCCGTTGACTGTGAAAGTCCCACCATCATTGTAAAGATTCCAGAACGAGTACAAGAAAGCCCGCTGACACAGCTATAAATTAGTGATAATGACGCAGATGCATTCAATAGTTATTAATACTACTCTATACCACTCACCAATGGATAAGATCGGTCAATGCACCATGCTACCAAGCATATCATAAACTGAAAAGACCTAGGTCATACGGTATACACATTTGTACATATATCACGTTCTACTAATTCAGGCGCTCGGTTCTTAATCACTAATATATTCCTCAGTGTGTAGTCAAAGAACAATTTACTAAAGAAAGGACTCCAATTTGAACGAATAAACAGTGAACCTTTAACCACAAAACAAGGGTTTTGAAGTTTAAGAACTTACCCTCGTTCTTACTGGCCCCATCGGATAAACCCTCAGGATTACCACAATTACGAAAAGAGGATAACATCTTGATTGCTTGTTTTTGTTCTGCAGAACTACACAACTTTAAATCTTCAGCTTCCCGTTTTTTTATCTCAGCTTGGCGTTCTTCGTAATCTGAACGGCGACGCCTGATTACTGTCGGTCTAGAAACGCCTTTGTAGGGCACACCTTTTAAGAGATGAACAGCCTTGAGCAAACAGTCCTCACCAACGGAATCAGTAGGAGATGGCCCATTTAGAGAATGCTTTGATTCCCTATTTTTTCTGCAACTAAATAACTGTTGTGCTTGTGAGAATGTTTTTCCAAGGCACAAATTATATTGCTTCTGCACACTATCAACTGCTGTTGTATCTAACAATCTTCTCAAAGCAATGGATGACTTAGCTAGCTCGAACGCTTTTGGATTGAATGCCACATCATAAACCTAGTTATAGTGAACGTAAAAGTCACGAAAGTTATAAGTGGTGTCGAATATTGTTCTTTTTAAGAAAGCTAAGTACTATGTAAACGAACTTACCATTGCATGCTTTTTCGCTTTGTCAATATCTTCACGAGGTGGAGTGAAGCAATGAGGAAGACTCCAATAAACACCACTCTCTCCTTGTCTGGAAGAATCGTTTTTCATTGGTTTAATTTCTGGACATTCCACTTTGTCAGATTTGCAGACATTTATGAAAACCTTCACACTTTCTTGGGCCGATTCATCTTTTGCATTTAAAGTGATTCCACTTTCGAGATACTGAGGAACACTTGGCCAATGACGCGTTTTCAAACAGTGTCCTGGAGTAGGATTGACAAATACTACATCCATCCCTTGCTCTAATTCCATCATCCGTATCTCGTCTTCATATCTAGAAGGTTCAAAATGTAGAGAGGATTAGTCAAGTATCGTTAAAAACACAATTTTAATTGTCAGTTGCTTTGAAAACACGTGTTGATTAAATTGAATAAACTACTCGATCCGATTTAATATGATTACCACTATGTGACAAGAAGTATACCACTACTGAGGGTTATACGGTATTCAGATACACGAAAAACCAGAAGTTACACATTCCTTTCTGACTGATAAAAGGGTTGTTTGCTAACATCACTTGGAATGCGGTAAGAAACACTTCGAGAATAATCACCTACATTTGACGTGAGGAAACCTCCAATACTTAGTAAATAGGCTGCATAAGTTCATTTCAGAATAACACTGCGATCAATATTTTCTAGGAGATGAGATCGATTTTGCGTGTCAAATGAACCCACTGCTGATATGAATTAATCCGAGGAGCTGACTAATAAAATATTTTACCGAAAATATCTGATTGAGACCGGTGATTGGTCATATGTTAGAAAGAAAGTATATATCAAATAAGATTGAAACTGATAACAAAGAACGCCAAGCACAACTCATAAGGCTGGTCAGAACAGCTGGGATATTAACTCAGGGGGAGTAAACTCAGGATGGCTACATATGCAGTTACACCAATCTTTCAATGTCAGTAAAATGTCCCTATGCTAAAACAAAACCAACAAATGGACAAATCATAACTTGCTTGTATCAAATGCTCGTATATACGAAATGTTAGTAGTGATTAGCAATGACAAACTGGACTATTATTTTCGCCCTAAGCATGAAAATATGACTTGGAAATCATGTAAATTTCCAACCTCCCCTTATTGGTGTTCTTCATTCAATAAAGCCATTCCAGCTATTTGGTTCCTCTTGGTGAAATTTAGCAGCTCAATAAATTCATAATGAGGAATCAATCTCATCAAGCACGTACGACCGCCTGTCATGTTGAAAATTTTAACAATCAATTGAGGCGAATTAAGAGAGTAGCAGTAAATAGTTAAAAATAAGCGGTCTCTTGGTGACAGTGTCACCTATAGGTATAGCTCATAAGCATACTTTTTCTTGTTAGCAGGATCTGATATTTCTTCCGCATATTCTCTGAATAGTTTCTGAAATTCAGGGTCTTTAAATGCTTTTTTCAGCTTAGTAATCTCATCTAATGTCAGATTCAAATCCCCAGAGTCGCACATCAGCAACAACGCGCGGACAGAAAAATGCAGTATAGCCTTGACAACAAACTTTCTGTTGCATAATAAAACAAATTGTTGAAGAAAAATACTTCAAGAATTACTTTTTTAAAGATGAATAACACATCGAAGTCAATAGGCATGAGATTTGGATGTCCCTTCTGTTGGCTGCGTTTTCGAACAATCATCGTTTCCACTTAACTGAATTTCATGTAGAAATTACTAACTCAGAACTGATTTGCAAACAATTATTGCTACCAGTCAATTTTTCAAAATGTCATTTAAATTGTGCTGTTATTTTTATCGACTATAGAAGTTGTTTGCTTGTATCTGTGTTTATTTATACATTGCTGTTTGAACTTTTCTTGTTTTGTCCACATTTTAGTGGTTGTGATAATAATCCCAGGTAATCGGTTGGCTCGACCATTGTGCATCTTCTTTGTTGAAGACATTAACCAGCGTGACGACTGCAAGAGATACATTCAAAAAATGTGTACCGACTTATAGCCGGCTATTTACATATGTTGTCCTGTATAGGTAGAACGAGTGATCGTCCAGACATCTTAAATGTGTGCTACATTAACACTCATAGTCTTAGAAATGACGGTGGATGAACTAAGTCCTGATATAATTGTTGTCACAGAAACCTGGCTCATCATAGATGTAGACAGCTCTCCAATGATTGCAGGATAACCTGTATTAAAAGCGATGGAGTTATAAATGGCAAGGGAAGAGGATTAATGTCAACTGGTAAAGATAACTTTCGTGTACAATGGGGAACATCAGAGGCGCATTATAATATTAGATGCGAGGGGGCTTGTTTTACAGTTAAGTCTAAACACGGATTAGTGACTATTGTAAGGATATGTCGACGTCAAGGTTGTGTTATCGACGACTTTATCTTAATTCATATATGTACTTAAAGTAAGGCTGACTGTGATCCCATCGTTGGTGACTTCAACGCATCACACATCAATTGGATAGAGCCTATTACACAAGGTAGATATTTTGACGGTAGCATGTTGCCAACCATTATTCGGTGTTCACTTGTACAATGTGTCGCAAAGCCAACACACGTAGACCTGGAATATGAATCGTAATTACTAGTTCTTTTCTTTGTAGTATTATTGTTTCTCAAACACACGATCCTTGAGGCCGAATTCACGATGCACAGTAAGATTTACATTCAAAATTTGCCACAGTATAGAAGTTCAGAAATGTTGAACGCACAAATGCTGAATCAGTGTAGTACGACTCATCCATGTAAACGTAGTCACCCAATGTAAACACATGGTTTTGGGATTAAACATATTATTCTCTTACTAGCCCAATATGTATTTTTCAGAAGTCATAAACGGCACATTGCTGACTGTCACGATAGGATGAACCAGTGTGGATAATGATGTGACTACCACCTAAGGTCTGATAGACTGGATACTCACATTATGGAGATATCTTTCAGTATATCAGTGCCTGAAGAGTTTTGATTATTAATTTAATAATCTCCGGCTCATGGATTTGCTATTAGAACAGCGTCACTTTGATACTGATGGGAGATTAGTGTAGTGATATCGGCTCTTAACCAAACGATCTGTAGTGACATTAGACCATAACCACACAATCTTCAAAGCTGAACACAAGACTACTCAGAAAATAGATATTCAGTATTCAACACGGAGAAATACCTAACAATGGAGAAGGCGCGAACAATGAATTGAATGGACTGGAGTTGATCGAGTGGCATGGCTCGGCCATGCAGTCGTGGTCTCTGCTAAATGTTACCTTATATCTTCTATTCATATTAAATATATTGTTCTTTCTCTAGCCTAACCTTGTCCTACATCATGTATTGGTAATTGATACGACACAGTGAGTTGGTGTAGTCGATGGTGTGACTTCCACGTAAGATCTTATAGATTAGGCAGTTATATCATGACAAATCTACAAACTTAGGATTAAGTCTATTATTAGAGCAGTAATAATATCATAGTATACCATAGTTTTACAGATCTTCCAGCTGAACATAAGATAACTGAGAAAGTTGACATTCTGTATTTAACGCGGTAAAAGTCAAAACGTGCTGATCGGCATGGTAAACCATGGCCATGAAGGTGTGGTTACCCTATGTACACCCCGATTCTCCGTATTGAAAATATTACTGTATTCCCAGTTCAAATTTGTTCTTCATAAGTGCTAGATGTTATTTCGCTGATTGTCACGATACGACGAGTGAGTGTGGACCATGATATGACTTCCACATAAAATCTTTAAGATTAGGTTGTCACATATGGCATGTCTTCAATTTTGGTGTTAGGTCTATTATTATTTTTGCCCATAACCAGCTTATTGGTACGTAAGTGCTGTGAAGAAGCTGTTTAGAGGTTCTTCAGAAACGCAGTGATACACAAGTTTCTATGACGTTAACATAATATTTTCCATATTTAAACAGGTTTTGTGGAATCAAGAAGAATATTGGGTTGACTTTAAAGAAAGAAAGGAAAAAAGTAGGGGAAAACGAAGGAAAGAACGTGAAATATGTAAACATATTGATAGGCGTGTTTATGAAAAGAGAAATAGAACAAACGATGGTGTATATATCGCCAAACGAATGAAAAAAATAGATAAATAAACGAGAAAATAAACCATTAATGCAGAAATATCTGATAGTAGAATAAGAGGTTATGCGTTAATATATCAGAATGATGCTATGAAAGTTTCGGTTAATTGCAAGGCATAATGAGATATCAATTTGTATGGGCCATTTATACGAAATGAATAAAGCAGCAAAGATAAATGTATTAATGTCAAATTAGGCTATAATCCAACGGTTACATCAGGAATCATCCAACGGTTTTCAGTATCTGGTCGATGAGTACGAAATTGCTAAGCCTCGGTGTAACAGAGAGAAAACGCTGGAAATCCCTTTACAGCATTTTACTCCACACTATTGTCATTTATTTATTTCTTCCCTTTGTTTTGTAATTCGTCCTCTAGTTAGGTCTCTTTTCAACCACACATTATGTTCTTCAGTCTTCCCTGTCTGGGCTTTTGTTATTTGACCTTGGTTAAAGATGTGTCATTTATTACTTAATTTGCTGTTGCATGTTACCGGACTGTTAACAATAAGCTCGTGTTTAGCCAAACTCAATGTCACGGCGTGATTCGGTGTATAACTGTTAACCTGTGACTATTTGCTCGGAAAGGTTGCTGGAGTCCTTGCAGATAAATATCCCATCCCAATTTCCCGAGGACTTTTTGTTGATTCTCAGGTGTCAGACTGTTGTTTTTTTGACTTATCTTTTTGTCGTCTAGCTCGTGCTAGACAAACCCTTGACTGCATAGCATAGACTGTGTCGTTTGAGGTATATAAATTAATAAGAGTCAGTCAAAAACGTTTTGTACACTTTGCAGAAGAATGTAATTTGGTCAAGTCAAATAAGCTTTGGTTCTTTAGTTATGCTTTCAAACCAAATATTGGCATTTCAGTCGTTACAACCATTGTTGGATATGCGGATTGAAGTTACATTGGATCCTAACCACAATCCTCGAAGCTGAACTGGGAAAATAGACTTTTAACACAAAATGAAGTTCAATAATAGTGGACATGGTTACACATTCATTCGAAATTCAATGCATCGGATGGCATGGCTCGCCCTCGCAAGCGTGGTCATTTTTGTGTAACATCACTTTCATTCAAATTAAATATATTGTTCTATATCTAGTCTGAATGTGTTGTACATCATATATTGGTGATTGCCACGACACAATGAGTCAATGCAGACAATGATGTGACTATCACATTAGGTCTTATAGGTTAGGCAGTTACGTCATGGCAAATATTTAATTTTAGGATAAGGCCTATCATTAGAGCAGTACTAATAACGAAGTAGACCATAATTCTACCGGCTGGCAAGCCGAGATTCACTGTTAATCACTACGGTTGGACGCTTACAAAGAATTAGCTCTCCTACTTAAACGATTTTGAATCGTGACTTTTTCATTGGTAGATATGCAATGAGTGGAATAGGGATCAGCAGTGAATTCCAAAGGCATTTGAGAAACCATTTTGAATGAAGTGGCATCTGATGAAATTCTAATTGTAATTTTGAGATGCTCCCTTGAAATGGCAAAATAAAAGTTACGATTAGGCGTCACCTTAGCTAGCTAACTGATAATTATCCATCTTAGACTTCTACATAATTGTATGGCAGATCCCAATCTTCTTCACCTTTCCTGATTCCTTTGGAGAAGTATGAGCCTTGTTGCATCAAGGTTCAACGATGACCAGTAACTTTTCCAATGACTTCAGTGTTACATAGGGTAACAAAAATTGAGAATATGTAGTGTCTATTATTATGTTAAGGCCATATACCTTATTCTAGATTTTGGACAGCCCATTCTATTCATTCTACTTGCGTCACATTCTGTAGCGACCGAACAGCCAATATTCGGTTGGAACAACGGACTGACGAACCCAAAATTTATTCGATTAGACCAGGCCAAGTTCCTCTGTATGGCTCACAACGCGTCTTTGAGATACTCGCATTATATTATATCAAAACACAAACTCTGTGCTCAATATAAACGGTTCTAATTAACAAAACTGAACAAATTACATCAAAAATACAAAATACCTCAAACGGTACAGCCTGTGCTACACAGTCAGAAGTTTCTCTAACGCAAAGTAGTGCGCTAAACAATGAAAGAGATAGTTAATACTAAAGGGTTTGATACCTGGGAATCAATACAAATATTCCCAACAAGATGGGATCAAATATCTATCTCCAGGGATACCAGCAATCCTCCCAAGCAGACAGTCAGAAGGTTCACAATCACGCACTGAACCACGCCGTGACCTTGAGCTTAGTCAAACACGACCTTACTGTCAATGGTCCGGCAATATGCAATAGAAAATTAGGTAACAAAAGATATGTCTTTAATCAAGATAACATAATAAAGGCCCAAACGAGGAAGACTGAAGAACAAAAGATATGGTTAAACAAGGTCAGAACAAAGGTTAAAATACACAACAGGGAGAAGAAACAAGTAAGTGACAATACTGTTCAACAAAGAGGCTGCAGAGGGATTTTCATCGTTTTCTTTCCGTTACACATTCTGACCTTGTTAATTATCCGCTTATCAGTCTTGACTGTCTTTAAATGAGCGCGTAGATGTGTGTACACTTCTTATCCCATTATTCATCACATGTCTGTAACTTATTTTTGTGTGCCTATAAATATTGATTAGTGCTTGGCTAAATGGGAGTTGGCTTACCCGCCATCTTCACTCCGCGTCATTTCGCTTCGTTCTATTCCATTCGCTTCATATACAAAATATATGTATTCACAAGTGCATTCTCGTTGTTCGATTTATCTATATCCGTTATTGACTAACGTGATTAAAGTCGATGATTATATACGAGGATAGGCGACATATATATTTCAACAACAATCATTCATACAATCAACTTGGAGTCAGAACCCGAGCTACTAAAGTGGAGAGCCCATCAACAAACTTCGTCCGATCTAAATGACGACAAAATAAAGGGCCTCACAAATACAAGGGGATGTATCTGTGTAGTCTGTGACTGTCTAAGGAACCAAAGACTGCACAATGTTACTCCAAGACTGAATTTAGTAACACCTTAGTTTGGAAATGATTTGGCTCCAGATGGATGGAAGTATACTGACCACTTACTGATTTCATTAGCGTGTATTCCGCATTATTGGTAGCTGTTGTGCTTATCCAACCCTCAGGAGGAATAAGACAATTTCGTTACTATCATACAGACTTGATGATTCAGGTTTCAAGTCACCATTCGCTTTAGACGGCAAATTGATAAGAAGGCAGTGTCAATTAGGATTATCGATCACAACTATAGAGGTTAGCTGTGGTTCAATATAGTACCACGATCTGTATGGACTGACAAAGCTCCAGAAGCATTTACCAACATTCATGCATTACTGGTGCCAAGTGGATCATGAGAAGGGCTCCTTTAGCAGTGGGACTGGTTAATAAAGTATTAAAAAGCCTGTTTAGGTACGTGGTAAGCCAAAAAATCGCCATACATTAGAAAAAACCAACCTTTTATTCAGATGCCCTAATTTCTAGTGATATTTGGACCTAAACAGTATTCCTTCAAAAGGGTTAGGGTTCAGTGTTATTGAGAGAAAAGTGACTTGAAACCCACCAAATTTTAGCTACGTTAGACTGCATTAGGCCTAGTGCAGCTCAGAAAACATCCTCTTTAATCAGATGTTGTGAAAGCTGGTCTCCATCGGTAAGAGCTGAAAAAATCCACAGCAAAACACACTTTGATGTCGGTTGACATTGGTGAGCTAATTACGTTACGAAACACAGAGACTATGGTTCCGACGAAGAGACACACTATACAGGAAAAAAACATAATGTTTCCAGTTTGCAGAAAACTGGCCAACGCACGTTAAACAACAATCTGCTTAAAACCCATAAGATAGATTCCATTGTAAGGGAGCACCAGGTGGTATGACGAAACACCAAGGGCCTCTAAGAGGACTGTGAGATAAAACTGGAGAAATCAGAAAGATGCATTTTCAGTTAAATCTAAAGATCAGAGACCTAAATAATACTAGGCTATCGTCCGACATTATGAATAAAGAACTGAGATGCAAGACATGACACGTTTTAGATGCAATGGAATACAAAAACAGACGGAGTGCGAGTAGACACTAACAGTCACTCAAAAGTCGTATCACCAAACAGTGACGAATCAACCAAGGTGCCTGAATCATGCTGGTGTTGCTTCAGTGTGAACGACACAAAGTACTTGACGGAAGGAATATAGCGGACCACACAGGATCTAACACCCAAAGGGATGAGGTTTGACCAATTACTGCTAGATAGAGACTTTCACACCACTTCTTCAAATCCTAACAAGCAGGATGCAACATCTAAGAAGTGGTTCCATAAGCGGCTTGCTGCATCCAGCTTACACCATGTTATGGTCTCACTTCTTCCTGCTATGAGTTGTTCCTATCTGGAACACTCTCTCAAACGAAGTTAACCCAACCCCATCGGCGAATACCCTTAGGAGGAGACTTGACAAACAAATACGCACCGATGGATCACCGTCCCCTTCTTAGACCAGCTATGTCTAGTGTGAGTCTCAGAAATTATTGCGGTTATGATTGAGGATATTAGTAGGTACTACCTATGTCTTTGATTATTATCCCCGGTTCTCCTCTTAAACCTTCAACTCTATCTTCTCAAACAATACCAACTATTGACTTATATTTGATTCTTGAGACAATCGTCTTCTCTTAGCATTCGAATTATCACTTTATTATTTTCACGTTGCAACCATCAAAACTTTTGCTTGGTAATGTGATAGCTATTGGTGCCCAGGAACCCTAATATGCCGAGAAAGCACACTCCTTAGAACTACGATACATATAAACCCGCAAATAATTACAAAAGTGACTAGAACTTATGCAGTCGATCGGCTTAACTACCGTAACAAGTGTAATCAGCAGTCACTGACAGGCGAGGAAGACATGAAACCACAACACACAATGTTAACCGAGCACTTCACACCAAGAGAGAGAGAGAGTGAACACTGGATGAAGCCACCAGTCGTTTATTTTGAAAGTTAAAATTCGCGGGTCATGTGTCGAAGGGAGAGTTAGTTCACAAAATAGTCTTATGAGTCATCCTGTAGGTTCAGTGCATGCAGAGCTTGCTCTTCTTCTAAAGCATTTATTCTTGGTTGTCCTGCAATAGGAAGAAAACAGAATCTATTAACAACATCATACATGATGATTTTAACCTAGTTAAACTACCTCCTATTGAAAATTACCGAATACCTGAAACTGTACTAAAACAACTGGAAGTGAACCCAAAAAATCAGTCGGTTTATGCAAGTTCGTGACAATGATATTAGTAATGCACAATTTAGATCTTTTAATGCACTGTCATTTTTGTTCTGTCAGATATTGTAAATACTTCGTATTTCGTAACCCAAGCACATTGTCGACTTTTTCGACGTTAGATGGATTATGTGTATATTTTAGCACCTATTGGGCTAGGTGTTATTTTAATTTTGTGCAGCACTGGATATTGCATTTATATTCATTACTCTAAACGCAGGCTCGTTGAGCGCATCAAAACGGAGATGCTTGCAAAAATAATCAATGGTCCAGATGCTATTGTTTACAACACTCACTGGCGTAGTAATATAAAAACGGGCAAAACAAACTCTGTTGTGAGTTGCCCTAAACCTCCAGGTCGTGTGGTCGGTATTGGAGGATCTCAAGTAGACATATACTCTCATCCTATACAATCGCGGACTGATGTCTTTGTCCAGAAAGTTGGGAGTGAGGTGTTTAGTTCGTTGACCAATGAAAGGTGAGTTAATATGTTGTATGATGTAAATGCACTTTATCGTTTCAAGGAATATTTTGAAGTTTGTGTGATAGAAACAGTCGATAGCATTAAAAAACGTGCAAGTTAGCTTTCTTGACATGTGCTTGTCAGAGATACCTGACCCTTATAATTTTTCTGTTCAGAATATAACTTGAACTTTCTTCCAAGGGGCACACATCTAGATTTTATATTCTTTTGTTCTTATCGAACTGAAAGTCAAATGCACGTTGTTGGAATGTTATTGATATTTACATCTCCAACTAGAATATGTTGGTAAGTTGGACTTCACCAGTTTGCCTAAATTGCCTTATAAATTTCTTTATTGCCGAAATTTGAGAGAAAAAAGCTGACTGTCGAGTGAATGCAGGATGATTTTTATCTGTCAGTGAAGGCTAATAGTAAGTAGATGTTACTGTGTTAAATGCATCATTCAGAGAAACTTGATAGTAACAACCTAGAGAGACGTATCACTGATTCAGTACGACTATTACTCAAATTCTTTTGCTTATGCATAATGACTGGTTGTGTTAAATCGAGTGAATGATAAACCAGACAATTATATTTAGTATTTATCTAACAGGAAAATTCAGGAATCATATATATATACTAGATCAAAGCTTCTAAATATTACGTTTACTTTTAGTTTATTTTTTGTGTAGAAAGAGGGTAAGTGTTTTAACACCTGTTATTGAACATAAGAGGCACTTTTATGTAAATTTATCTGTTGATTACTGAAGTGTGCGAGGTATGTTTTCGACGAATGTGAACTCAGTATTACAGATCGCGTTGATAGATGTTTTCATTCATGATTTCATCATGTTAAGGTTAACAATTCCATAAAGATTTGAGTCAAGGCTTGACTTTTTGCCGAAGGTTGATTTTATCTTTTCTGATATAAATAAGCACTTCCATTATAGAGATTCACATATATCTTGGGGTCCGAGTTTTCGTGCATACCATTTATGTGACATAGCGCTTAACACATGGGCAAAATATAGCTAGCTGCTTTACCTAACTTTAAAGAGAAACAAAATTTTACGTGGATATAGGTAAAGATGATTCAGATTTATAGATTTGTTAACTGGGATCTTAAGTCTTATTAACATTTTAGTATATTGTAAGCATCTCATGTTTTGTTAGACATAAATATTGAGTTACTGAAATGATATGAAGACTGGGTTAAAAATCAAGTTATATTAAGTCGTTGCCATCGTCTTATCGATGAGAAATGAAAAAAAGTACATATTTCACCTCTTAAAAGGCCTTTTATAGCTGGTAGCGATATAGGCATTTTGAAAGTCATAACGTGTTCTAAAAGCAGTGTTCAGTATGTATTTAGGTGTAAATGCTGGCAAAACAGTTACATTTTATATGGTTATCTCAAAATTAAACTGAGCTACAGTACTAACAGAATTTAAACAAACCCAGTTATAAACATGAGTGCTAAGACAAAGCTGGTGTTTGGAAAAAATGAGGATATAGATCTCGGATGAATAATGTAATTAAAAGACAAAATAGTCTTGAATATAAGTAACGCAAACACCCTATACCACCAAGATACGTAAAAATGTGTGAGCATTGATTTGTATTCATTTTTGAGATTATTTTGCTTTGTAGACCATTGCAGTTACATCTTAGTAGCCCGTGTTTCAAATATGTATTTATTTATTCGGTTTTATTAATGGTCGTAAGATCTCATCCAAGGTTAAATTTAATAGTTTAATTTTCAGATGTTTCTTACGATCCACTCCAAACTTCTTTATCAAATTCTAAAACCATCTATCCCTTTAGGCCGCAGGTTTTGAACGTACCTTATAGTGATTATAAACATACCACTCATTATGGCTCACCAAAGACCAAAAATTACACCACAAGTATACCAAGTCACAGAGCCGTGGAATCCGATAGTATATACGTGAACTGTCCATTTAAACCATCTCAAAAACCTGAGTCCAGCAAACATTATAACACGAGATACCAGTAAGTTGACGTGAATTAAAGATGGAAAATTGACATCGAATTCACGGTTCAATGTTTCAGAGGGTAAGCTAAAGAAAATAATTTTTCATAACGTTACTGCTTATTTATTGGATGGTGTGAAACAGAATTGATGTAACTTTGCGTCTTGTCATATTTAAAGAGTTAGGCTTTCTAAATTAAACTGACATAAAACGTTTACCTATTACACCTACCAACCACTTTTTATTCAGTTTACGACAAAAAGTGACAAAACAGAATTTAGGCAGCCCTCGAATCAGCAAGCATCTTCCTAAACCAATAAAATTAACGCCAGAATTGACTGCGAAACTATCCATAAGAAACTAAACTTGACAAATATTTGACAGATCACAATACGCAGGATGAGTTTGCTTAATGGCTTATTCTTTGCATAGTTAAATGTTTGTGTGGAAAGTTCTACTGATCTCAAATCGTTTTTAGATCAGTCATTGCATAAATGTATCATTTATACTCATCAAAGGTAAAATTGATCGGTATCTTATCCCAAGGTTTTATTGCACACAGAAGCGTTTAAAAAGTTGAGTTATACTAATTTTGTTTCACGAGACAAAATAAAGCACTTAATTAGAACAATTGAGATTAGAATTCATCCCCTATCACTTATGAAAGTTTGGGGATACAATTGGCTGAATTATTTCTTCCATGACATCCAAAAACAGAGGTTTAAACATAGCTTTAACGAAGAAAGATCTACTTTAATAAATTCAATACATTCAGAAAATGGTTGTGCAGCTACTCTCTTTGTACTATGATCATCCAAATAATCTAAAATTTACCTTTCAACTTGTTATCTTTATTGTTATGCAGCTATTTCCAATAATTAACAAGTTGCTTGTCCAAAAAATCATATACATATTCTCGATTTTCATTCTCATTTAATCAACCTTATCAATCAACATATCAACCCTTCCTTTTTGCCTTTATCTCCTCTTATTATTATTGCTATTTGATGGATCAAACTATGAACTGATCTTAGCTATAACATTATTAAATTCTAAGAGGAGTTAGAAAGCTGTTTCGTCCTGTCATGAGACTGCATGATAGTACTCGTCGACGACCCCAATAAAGGGGGTCGAACTTAGGACCTTCAGTCTCGCGCACAAATGTTAAACCAGTAGACCATTAAGCTGGCAGTCTTTGATACACCTGACCGACTTCAACCAATTCATGATGCTGAGCAACCATACCCTAAAGTTAGGCTAATTACTACAATTTGATTTGTATTTTTCGAATGTAAAATTATACATTCATGTCAAGGTATGATGAAGAGCCAAAACTTCAAAAGATGTTTTTGACGTTCGACCTATATTTTTAAGAATACTTTTTTATTTAATAAGATGCTTTGGAGTGTCAAGTTTATCATCGAAAAATGTTCGTAAGGAAGTCCATGTAAAAAAGTATGCTGCAAAGTATACTTAAGTAATGTTTCATTATTTTGTTAAACGGGAAAGTATCGTTTCAAGAATATCGAAAAAACAAACGGGATATTCTCAGATATATGCAGTACACTTAAAAACCTTATTACCTGTTTTTGGATGTTCATTTCGTCAGCTGCGTTTTTTAGTGGTGAAATTGCCATTGCCTTTCTAAACAGAGTCATTGATTTGTGTTGATTAAATCATTCAAATTAGATAATGAAACTTCATCAAATTCATATGCTTGAACAACAAATTTCCCTTACCTGTCCACTACCTTATTTGATTTGATTAATCTTAAGATAGATGATTTTGGTCTTTTATGGATTAAAATTTAGCTTGTAAGCTATTCTTAAAATGTTGTTACTTACTTACTTGCTCACGTAAGTTACTCCTCATGGAGGAGCATAGGCTGCTCACCAGCACTTGCCATCCAACCCTGTCCTGGGCAATCCTTTCCAGCTCTTTCCAGTCGTTACTCATCCTTTTCACATCTGATTCTATTTCCAGACGTAATGTGTTCTTTGACCTTCCTTTTTTCCACTTCCCTTCAGGATTCCACATTAGGGCTTGCCTCGTGATGTAGTTTGATGATTTGCGTAATGTTGTTAATACAGTATTTAAATTACTGACTAAAAGCTTCATCTATGTAAGCTCATTCAAATATTTATTACATACATAAGTTGTATTACATTACAAAACACTTTTATTTATATGAAATCTGTTGAAATAATACGGATTTATATATTGGCTGGACTGTTAATAAAGTTTACAGTTCAAGGAGTTTGATTGAATCTTTCTAGTGATATCAAACATTTCTGTCGATCAGTCTATTTTAGTATATGTATGTCTTGAGTGAATTAATTCAATATTACCATTGAACTACAAGCATTTCTATTCAAAGTTGAATAATGATTAGTAGTGGAATGCGGAAATCTCGTATCGTTTCTTCTTACAAGCTACTAATTCTCTGAAATCAGTGGCTAATTGGTTAGTGAGTTAGCCTTTTGAATCGAAACGTACAGGATTAGAGTACCAGTGCGAACATTATCACGATTACAGACAAATCCAACTGACAAGTTTCAGATAGAATGCAACGTTTGTCCTAGATTTTACTTCTAGCCACTAACTTTATTTGTTAAATTAATCACAACTCGTTTCTCACAATTTTAAATAATACTAAACAAACATCCAAGATGTATGAAATTAATGAAATTCCATAATAATGATAATGGTAATGTTGTTCGGAATAGATAATTTGCAAGAATATGCAGTCACTTTAAATGCATTGCAGTATTTATGGTTATTAATCATAGCTGAATTTTAACGAAATATCCACTTACTTGAGCTGTTAGCATATATTTAATGTTGGTTAAGAAGAGCCAAATCTACAAATTTATAACTTTAAACTTTACAGTAAATATGCCTAATTAACTATCATAAACGTTAAACATGAACTTTTCGATTTAATGATTCAATATGTTTTTTTAACTGATATGACTTATTCATTTTTATATTGGTTGTTTGAATCTTCCAAATGATGTTTAAGACTGCAATTGATCAGTCTCTTATTGGCATATGTGCATCCTGTGCGGATTGCTTCAATATGGACTTCAGTCACAAGCATTACAAGCAAAGATGGATGGTGGCTAACATTGGAATACAGGACGCGTGTTTAGTCCTATTTTTGGGACTCATCATATGAATGTGTCTGCATTCCAGAGTTGATGTTCACAGTAGATAAGTGAATAACGCGGTGGTGTTTGGAGCGAACAGTAATGAGTTCATGTCCCGGAGGGGATATCAACTTTGAAATAAAGGTACATCCAGTGGACGAATCCCAAAAATAGGACAAAACAAGCGTCATCGATTCTACTGTTAGCCACCATCCACCTCTGCTTTTAATAGTAGCACAACTCATTCACCAAGTACATATTTTTTTCAATCCATAATTAAACGATATTTTGATTGTAAGGCCAATCACTGATTCACGATAACAATGAGTTTTTCCCACTTTTTTAAATAATCATTATAAACCTCTTATTACGCAACAACTATTTAACCTTACCTAAAGACTCATGGAACGTTTGCACATGTCACTTTTAGAAACTAGCCTTAAAACATATCTCTTTAGCTAATTAAATAAATTACAATCCACTAGCCTGAATTTTTATAAATTAAGTCTCTTACTCATTCGAAAACTGTCAAAATAGTTTAGAGATTGATAGAGATTATAAGATGATTGGGTAGTGTAAACTGTCGCTTTAAGTCGTCCTGATTTCGATGGAAGCCATTTTCAAAGCCAATCCATCAAAAGCTACATAAATGTTCGAATGTAAAATTTGTAAACAAAAAATCTAATTACATGCATATATCTATGACATTTCAATGGTAGAAAAATATATCAGGTAATAACTATGGTGGTGATAGTTCGAAAGCCACACACCACCTAATTCTATTTGATTGACCTAATATTATCAATAATCTTCAAGCAAAAATATTTCTTATTACATAACTAACTACACTAACCTGAGCTGAATTATAGAGTTGGCCGTTTCTTTTTGTTGTTGTTGTTGTTGTGCGAATACCCTCGGTATAGTAAAATCTTTCTTTGAAAAAACACATAAGAAACTAATCAATTTTGTTTGTTTTTCATTTGTTTATAATTTTAAATTTTTCAGGTCGTCTTCATTGTTATTCATATTTCTTCATTTATGTATGAATCAACTGTTCATTTTTCCAATACAATAACTAATGCATTGAATAACAAAGTTGGACAAGCCTTTTTTTTATAAAAAGATTGAAATAGGTATATATGAATCCATTTCATTTCATAAAATTGCTTTGAATTGTATATATTACACATGAGAATTATGGGTGAGACTATAATTTAATGGATGAACCAATCAGAAATAATATAAAAGGTGTCGGATTTTGAAGTGAAATTCACTCATCCATTTGACTAAATAGTGTCTTGGCATTATAGCTGATGTCAATTCGTGATGAAACATCCAAAAATCTAATTCCTAACCTTTAATTATCAATTGTAAATCACAATTCTAATTCTTCATACTGGTTTATAACCTTTATTTGATCCTAGTTATTAGGGGAATACTTTCAAGGTCAATTTAGTCACCGTCTCTCAAAGGTCGTCCATAAATTATAATCTCATTGAATTATGCTAATAAAATTAATTTATCAGTTGATTATTTAATATTTCCTTTTGTTTTATAATGTGCCTATTTTGGAAAAAAAATTGTTTTTTTTTGTTTTTGCTGTGATTGCTGTTATATCCGGGTGGAGATTAAATCACAGGTAACTCCCGAGGACTATTCATGGACTAATATTCTATAAATATTCTTATTGTATAACTACTCAACAATTACACTATGTATATTTATATTCCTTTTATGATAAGCTTTATTTTGACCTATAACTTATTATTGTACGATTTACGGTTCTTAAGTTATGTTCAGTTTATTAACTACTGCCTCCCTCATTCACAGCCACTTTTTGGGCTTATTTATATACAAATATTATTTCCTATTTTATGGTACGTTGCGGTCTGTGTGATTGATATATAAACCAAGTATGCCTGAAATAAACGATCTGCTCTGATTCGAAGCTGGTATCTTGTTCTGGACTCAAGTGGAAGGGCTCGTAGGACATAGGACCAATAAGGACGCTAAACTGCCCACACCGGTTGAACGTCATTGGTTGGCCTAGTGTGAAGATTCGTATAAGTCGTATTCGGATTGATAGATAAATCGTGTGACCGAAAAGTCAGACATCCAAGGTCATAACAATTGCATTTTTCAATTGTTTACATTTGATGAATCCATTTTGCATTACTTTTCACATATAATACATAAACATTCTTACTTGTTATGCATTTCTAGTTGTTGTTGTTGTTGGTGGTGGTGGTTAGTTCCACTTAATGATTTTAATTTATAATATTCATATTTTTTTATTTTTTATTTTCCTCTGTTGGTGTATAAAATAGGATAAGTAAATTTTGTTTTTAATCACTAAGCGTAAATTGATAAAAACAACAAATTACTGATTATGTAATTAATGATTTTTTCTTTTTTATTATTGATTTTTAATTTTTGAACTCATTGAATGTCATCTGTTTGTAATTATGTTGAATAAAGTATTATCTCACCTTAATCTGGTTCTTTATATTTGGTTATGAATTATTGTTACACCTTTGATTTATTAACCCGTTAGTTTTTCAATAGTTGAAATCATGTGTCAAATGAAGCTAGACCACCATGGAAAAACTGGAAGTGTTATGACTTTATGTCCGGCTTTTATCACGTGATTTGTCCACCAATCAAAATACGACTTATACAATCTTAGCACTGTGCCATACCAATGACGTTCGACCGGTATGAGCAGCCTAGCGTCCTTATTGGTCCTATGTCTGCCTAACCCGTCCACTTGAGTCCAGAACACCAATACCAGCTTCCACTATGCGAATCGAATCGAATAATTTCTTTCAGACATACTGGGTTTATATATCAACCAAACAGATCGCAACGCATCATAAAATAGGAAATAACGTTTGTACACAATAAAGCCAAAAAGTGGCTATGAACGTGGGAGGCAGTAGTTAATAAACTGAACATAGCTTAAGAACAGTAAATCGTACAATAATAAAATGTAGGTCAAAATAAAGCGTATAATAAGAGGGATATAAATGTATATAATCTAATTATTGAATAGTTATACCATAAGAATGTATAGATAATATTAGTCAATTAATATGTCTCAGAAGTTACTCGTGATTTAATCTTCGCTCGGATATAACAGGAAGCACTGAACGGTCGTTTTGTTCCAGTATTGGACTCCTCAGAAATGCTCATCCACGATCCCACCCCCCGCGAGATTTGAACCCAGTACCTAACCATTTGACCACTAGTTTTTGTTCAGTATAGACAGGGGTAATTGTCTCAATTTGGTTTGGGGTTTTAATGGTGATGAATATCATTAAACGACCAGCCATCTTTGTAATTTTTTGTTTAGTTAATTTTTTTCATCCCATTTTTCAATATCTTTCATTTCGTTTCGTTCATTTAAATGGCTTGTTTTAAATTTGTTATAATTGATCATTTATGTCTTAAAATTGTTACAAAATGTCAGTACCTGTCGACAGAGTATATTTTCTTCGAATTATGGAGGATAGTAACATACAAAGTACGAACTCTATCGTTTCTCACGATTCCACAGAAACGGAGAACGTATTCTTGAATACATTGTATCTCGTGGCGTTCCAATCAATTGAAGCGTTAAAGAGCTCCATCAGAACTTATGAAAGATCTACGACGTGATAAATTACTTAGTATAATCTTGATATTTACAGCTCATGAGTTGGATTAATGAGTGAATAGCTTTGATGTTAGAGAGATGAAAACTATTCAACCTTTTAGATTAGTAAGCTAACAGAGAAAAAATAACTTACTTGGAACTATTATTCGATTGATTCTCGATTCCAAATTAACTCAAAAAGTCATATGAATTAAGTCAGTCAGCTGTAACGTAGGACCAGGCACATATATGCATCGGTCCAAGTTGCCATACCTCATTAACCCAACAAGATGGACACCGGATCTATAAAAGTAGTTAATTCAGTGACGGTAATATATAAAAGAAAGATTGCAATAAAGATATAGTACACGAAGAAAGAATTAGTTGGTAGGAAGAAAGATATGAAGCGATTTTAATCTCTTAGTTTAAGAGAAGACAGAGCCTGTATACACCGACGCCATTGTGATCGATTCTGAGCCATGTCACCCAGAGTCTCCAACCATTGGTTACGATAGTCACGCCGACCCCAACCAAGTAGTCTGCATCTGCATGAATAAAATATAGCTAACAGGATCGTAACGCACAAGAATTGAGAAAATTATAATCAATGTCTAAAGTAGGACATTAGAGTAGAAAAGTGGAATCTAAAGGTCACTTTTAAATTACAATAAATTTGAGATAGAAAAGAATATAACACCAATCTATACATTAAACTAAAGTTTGTGATTCATTTAATAAAATAGGACTAAAATTAAGTGTTAGTATACTACAAATTTTTAATAAAGCTAGATAGTGTGCGATAAAGTAACTTTGGTTGTTTGTCGTTGCTTTGTTATTTCTCTTTTCACATCATTCTTGTATCTGGTATAACATGGGTATAGCTTATCGACTGAGTATCAAGTCTAATGGTGATATCATCTTGATCATCAGTTATATTACTGGATCACAGTAATTTAACGTTGCAAATAGAAAATCATTTTACTCTATCGTTTTATCGACTTCATGAAGGTGAACTGAACAAATGAATCAGAGGTTGAACGTTGAACACTTCAGTTACAGGCACCATATCTAGATCTAACCGTTTATTGTGTTACATTAAAAAATAAATCAAGCATGGTAAATCCCTTAGCAAATCATATTTCAGTCATCATCATCATCAGTCTTTAGGTACATAATTGTTGGAGTATTTAACTTTCTGTCATCATGTTGAAAGTTTGGAACTCATTATCACTATTTCGGTTTCAGATGCGAACCAGTATCAATAACCCTTTTACTGAAGATTGTACGACGTAACCGAGTGTTCGACTTTCTATATGGTCACCTGATTACATTATTAATTGTGTTGTATTATACGTTACTTTAACCAAAGCTATTTCAGATAATCTAATTAAGTATACTTGTACATTGATTGATTACTCAGTAGTGACTAATATGGTATGTAACTCAAGAATAATGAATAAACTGATCTATCCGGAAGCTAGAATAACCCATGTATACTTGATGTAGCACTGAACAATACAATGTAATGATTAGTATTGCTGAGTTGAGATCATCCGGATTGCGTTTTGATTGTAGATAGTTAGAGGCAATCAGTAGGGAACCTTGTTCAATCTAAATTTCGTACCAGTTCGTACTTGTTAGCAGGTCTGTTAACCTACCTGCAAATTGTGGGAACTATTGCTTCTCATGTGATTCAAACTACAGGTACAGCTTTACAGTTTTATGTTACCATTGACGTATTCGTGTTACAAGAGATCTCCCGCTTAACTATAATATTTACGCAAGCTAATCACCGAGTACTGACTTAAGAATGTTTCTGATAGATGACAGATTGTTAGCTTTCTTTTATAAAAGGGAGTAGTGAATCGCTTCTTACTGCTTCATCATACAAAAATGATGTTATTTGAAGTAATGAAAGCATAATTAATGTGTATAATCAATATTGGTAAAATCCTTTAGGCAATTATCGTTATGACTATGTTACATCCACTATAACTATGTCCACTAATACCAACGATCAATAGTTCGTGCCAAATTATTACTCTTTATTAACCTGAGAATTAGAATACTGGAAAATTTTGCCAGTTAACTCTTATTATTCCATTTTATTCAAACTTAAAATTTCACATGATCTTACGGACAAATTTCAGGACTATAATAAACTATCGGTAATAAATATCAAAATGCACACAACTAAGACATTTGTGTTACAAATCTGAATTGCAGGTATATGAGTAATTTGCCAAAATATATGGAAAATAAAAGTTTTGGTAACAGTTAATAAATCAAATAAAAGTTTACAATTAAGGTAATCTTTTGAAAAACATACCATAAACCGACTGTTTCACAAAGTGTTATAACTTGTGACCGCCGATTAGAGAGCAGTGAATTATCAATCGGAACAATGACGCGTAAACCCCTTTTGAGCAGCCTAGAGTCCTGATTGGCCCTGCTTCCTGCATAGCCCAGCCAGTTAAGTCCAGAACACCAATCTCAGCCTCTGTAATATGAATCATTATATTTCAAACATACTGAGTTTATATACCAATTAAACAGACCACAACGTACCAATAAAATATGAAACAACATTTGTAAAAGAATTAGCCAGATGTGGCTGTGAATGTGAGAGGTAGTAATTAATATGCTGGGTATAACTCAAGAATGGTGACACGTATAATAATAGTTAATGAGTCAAAATAAAGCTTATAGTAAGAGGAATATGAATATGCATAGTTTAGTTACTTAATAATTATACAGTAAAAATATACGTTTAGTATTAGTCCATCAATAGATCCCAAAAGTTACCATTTATTATTCTTGTCGGGACATAACGCAAACACACATAATAAATATATTTAATGAATCCCTAATGAGTATCTTTTAAAGTTTCCGCCTATAAAACATTTCCGATTGGATTGTTGAGGTGTTCTCTAATTCTTTCAAGATGTATGTATGCTATCATTCAAATTCTTTAGTTCGATATCTTTCGTCTCTCAGGTTTCAAAACATTTTGCCTTGTTAGAAGCCATATCTTTTATACAGCGTATGCATTGTTTTCATTCTAGTAACTTTATTTCTTGCCAAAATGAATTAGAGAGTTCAATAGACTCTTTTTAGATATTCATTGCTGAGCTACTGTAAATTAGGTCTAAATAACTACCAAACGCTGTTTGAGTTCTGATTTTTCATCTGAAATAATTCTGCATAAAGTTTTCAAATTTGATGATCTTTTTCCTAGGGATTTTAAATTTAAATATGTTCACGTTCCACATCAGGAGTCAGCGAATTATAAACTTTGTCTATGAAACTGTGGTGTACTACTGATCTTGACAGATATAAGTAGTATGTAACATCAATCAAAAGTGAAATGCCTGGAGGCATAAGGTTAAGAAGATCAACGAAATGAGAACGAAAACAAAGAATGATTGTTGTGGGATCGAACAAAAAATGAAGTCTGAGACGATTAACTGATATTTGCAAAAGGAAAAGTCAAGTTTGAGACAACTGATTGATATTTTGTAAACTAACTATTTACTGTATTGTTCTCAGATTTTACTAAGATGTTCTGTAATTTTGTATCTAAAATACATTTCATTGTCTCCATTTGTGTTTCTATTCACTAAAAAACTACTTATTATATTAAATTCAATTGGTGTTGTTTACTTGATACTTCCCATTGACGTTTAGGACTGCAATCGGTCAGTCTCTTATTGGCAACTGTTCATACTGTGCGTAATGCCTTAATTCACGCATTAATGCGTAATGGATAATGGTTAGTAGTGGAATCTAGTTTGACGCGCGTTTCGTCCTATTTGTGCAATACACACAATATGCACAGTTGCCATTCAGAGACTGATCATTTGCAGCCTTAAACATCAATGAGAAGATTTAAATAAAGAATACCAAGTGAATTTAAACTTAAAACCATTACACAAGCAAATAGCTATCAGGACTCAGTAACTAAGTGGATGGCGTAATGACTTTTGAAGCGAACAGTACTAGGTTTGAGTTTCAGAGTGAAGTTCAACTCTAAGATGCAAGTACATCTATCTGATGAGTCTCAAATAGGACGAAACGCGCGTCCTCGGTTCCACTGCTTATAATATTTATTATATTGCATAATGCTCATTAAATAATTAAGTCCGTTTAAGATGAAACGATGTATGAACTAAATCTTCACGTAATTAGATAAATCAATTTTTGGACTTTGGAAATCTCCATCGAATATTGAATTGAATCAATGAAAAAGGTTTATCAATCAGAAACAATTGAAATGAAAATAAATCATAACAGTTCAAAGATTGAGATCATTTTGATAAACATAGATTAATAGATTTTAATTTATTAATTCATAATTAATTTGTATTGCGTAATTTATAAAAGTCTGATAACCATTTACATTAACCAAACTAAGGTATTAAGTAAGTCTCATTCTATTTATTTACATTATTATAGTGATCAGTAATGTATAGATTTTTCCAAATTGAACTCACTTTTATCCAGCTTATGATAGATTTATGACTGTCGTAAATGAAAAAGAAAAGATAAGTGTTGAATCAGTTTGAGATTGATTAGTAGAAACGATTGTGATGAGTTTGTTTTTGTTAATCAATCACCTCAATAACTGTTATGATATAAATCTCAATGCTGTTTGAAATCAGAAGGTAATGAGAAGCAGCGACTACAGTTTATTTTGGTTAAGACTTTTTATTAACTCACTTAACAGACAATGTTATTAGAACAGTAACAATTCGTCTATTTCTTTGTACCGTTATGATCACTAGATCACATGACAGACTCGAGCTAAAATGTTGATCGGTTAAATATCACTCGATGATTCATCCTCCTCCTCCTTATGTATATATGTACCCAAATCCTATTATTAGTCTTTTCTTTGCCGTACTGAACCCTTGTGCAATTTGACTATAAATTTGCTTATGTATTTGCTCATATACACATATTCGCCTCTCTGTTTCAAATGAGCTTGATGCGCTTATAGCTTTGTGATCTGCGCTATCAGCTAATAAACTGTATTTGCTGCTTCTAATTACCTTCTGATTTCAAACAGCATTGAGATTTATATCATAACACTTATCGAGGTAATTGATTAACAAAGCAAAGCCATTACACTAGTACTGAACAATATATATATATATATATATTTATAAACATTTTTCATGAAATATATTGTACATTTTCATATTTATACTCTTGAATGTGAGGATCCAACTAGTATCATAGGCTAGACAACATGATATAGGTTACTACATTTTGAGTTGTATATTTAAATATCTTAGTCATCAACTGCCACTTCAACAGCTAAATAGGGATATTATGGTTTAACTCATTCTTTTATTGATTAAAGTATTCTAGAAAGTAGTACGACTTAGATATCAAGTTAATATTAACAGTTGAAGCGAAGACTTCATGTTAAATAGCTTTAAAAGTCACATTTATAATGGGTAAATATTATGTATTATGCTCAAAAACTAACATTGTGTTATAACTCACGTGACAACCATCTTTTTTTACCTGATCATGGAATCTAATATTTTGTGTTAATAAACAAAATGTAGTTATCATAATTACTGGCTAAAACAAAGGATTATGTTTTCAATACAAACAAGATTAGTTATCAGTAAAGATGGATAGTGGCTAGCAGCGGAATCCAAGACGCGCGTTTTGTCCTGTTTGGGACTCATCAGCCGGATGTACCTGCATCCCAGAGTTGATGTTCACTCTGGGACTCGAACTCAGTACCGTTCGCTTCAAACGCCATCGCTTTATCCACTTAGATACTGAGTTCTGATAGCCACTTGCTTGTGCAATAGGGTGAATTTAAATTCACTTGGTATTGTTTTGCTTGAATCTTCCCATTGATGTTTTTAGGACTGAAATTGATCAGTCTCTTATGCCAATAAGAGAATGATCAATTTCAGATTAGTTATTGCTTGTATATTTTAAGTCCTACAATGGTAAATTAATAGTTATTGAATTCCAATTCCCAACATAAGGCATTGGGGTCCATCAAAAATTGTATTAATTCAAAAGTGTGACAATGAAGTTATTACGTCCAAAAGTTAATGTTATAATATACTAATTATAATTTATAAAGTTATGGGGCGTTACTTAAATTGGAAGGTTTTGGTGTGTTCAGATTGTATTTGGTACCATAATCCACAATTATAGATAATTAATAATTCCAATGAGGTTGTTGTGATTCCAGTCATATAGCCAAACATAGAATATAATGGAAATATGACTGTAGTCTATAAATGTAGATAATAGATATTTCAGAGTTCAGTTATCACAACGAAAGGCAATGGAGAACAAAGGTGACGTGTGTAATGGTGTATTTACGATCAGTTAACAATGTGTATCATGCTATGAGCAATTCAAAATGGAAAAGAGTGAGTTCAAGGTCATGCACTTCAACAACTTTCACAATCATTTTGTAATAAATGTACAAACTGTGAAAATGAACAAAATAAACGTTAATCATATCGAAAACTATTTAGAAAAATCAGTCTATCTGAAGTTTATACTGATGATGTCGTTCAGAAGAACAATGAAAGCTTCACAACTAAACCATCCAGATCAGAGAATAAAACTCCATCAACAAAATAAGTTTGTCGTGCTTATCTCCACAGCATACATCTATGATTTTTAATTGATTTAGTTAATGTATTCTGCCAAAAATATTTAATGGCACATTGAATAACGTTTAAATTCATGTAAATTGTTAGTGTTTTTTAAGCGAGTTAGTTTTCTACGGGATGGGGTCGCTACCCCATGCCCAACCCTCCTCCTTCATCCAGGCTTGGGACCATCAGTAGCCCCCGGGGGGACTCCAGGCGGGAAAGAACAAACCAAATCACAGTGGAGGAAGAAATTAGGAAGAAGCGCTGGAAGTGGATAGGACACACATTGAGGAAAGCACCCAACTGCGTCACAAGACAAGCTGTTACATGGAATCCTCAAGGTCAAAGGAATAGAGGAAGACAAAAGAACACATTACACCGGGAAATGGAGATAGACATGAGAAAAATGAACAAGAATTGGATGGAGTTAGGAAAGAAGGCCCAGGACAGAGTGAGTTGGAGAATGCTGGTCGGTGGCCTATACTCCATTAGGAGTAACAGGCGTAATCAATCAATCAATAATGTAAATTGTATAGTTCAAAGGTTATATATGTAATAAGGGAAAAGAAAAATCACAGCATGGTAGTTGGTTATTCTATTCTACTCGATGATATGTGTATGTATTTCCCAGTGATAGTCGTCTAGAATTCAATTTATCATCCAGCTAATTCCTATATGACAATTTATTAATCTCGAAACCGGACAAAGGACATGGGATAGTACTCATGGATAAAAATGACTACATAAACAAAATGAAAGCCCTTCTAAATGATAAAAGCAAATTTCAGAAACTGGCTGTGAAAAACGACATAGCAGACAAGATCGAAAAACAACTAACTGATTCACTGAAAGAAATTAAACAACGAGGTTTTATTTCAGAAAAGATGTTCGAAATGTTGAAACCTACAGGAACAATTACACTAAGACTATATGGCCTACCGAAAATACACAAAAGTGGCTTACCTCTTAGACCAGTATTAGATATGAATAACTCAGCGTATCATAATTTAGCAAAATGGTTGGTGCAAATTCTTCAACCATTACACAAAGAAATTGTCAGACATAGTGTCAGAGACTCCTTTGAATTTGTGGAGAACATAAAAAATCTATCAGTCAAAAATAAATTCATGATATCACTTGACGTATCATCATTATTCACTAATATTCCACTACTCGAAACGGTTGAATATATTTGCAATAAACTAACGGCGAGACGCATAGAAACCCCGATTCCCGCATGCGCGATAAAATAGTTAATTCTTAGATGCACTATGAACGTCCAATTCAGATTTGACAATGAATACTATAGACAACTAGATGGAGTCGCCACGGGATCACCATTGGGCCCTCTACTGGCTAATGTTTTCCTTCCAAAACTGGAAAATGGACCACTTAAAAGTACAATTACCCATTTACCAACTTATTATCGCTATATAGATGATACCTTCATAGTATTAGAAAAAGAAAATGATAAGCACACTTTACTTAATATATTTAATAACGTTCACCCATCAATTAACTTTACATCAGAAGATGAACAAAATAATAGCATATCTTTTCTAGATGTCCAACTAACTAGAAGAACAGACGGAACTATGAAAAGAAGAGTACACAGAAAGTCAGCAGCTGGTCAATACACTCATTTCCACAGTGCAGTTCCAATCAGATACAAAAGGAACTTAATAAAGATCTTGACACATCGTGCTAGAATGATCTCTTCTGAAGACACTATTGAAGATGAATTGAACAATATTCGGAACCTACTCAGTCTGAATGGGTACCCAATGAAATTCATCGAAAAATATATGACGGAGAAGAAAACAAGGACGAAAATACCCACTGTCCCCAAGAAGGTATTATTCATAAAACTACAATTCATAAACGACACTATTGAAGAAGTCATGACTCAGAAACTAAGAAGAGCCGTACAAAAAACATTTAATGCTGCCAAATTAAATGTCATCTTCTACAACCACCCGAAAATAAGAACATCCATTAAAGACAGACTGCCAGAATTCGCCAAATCTATGTGTATCTATCGTTTTAACTGCTCCTGTGGAGCCAGTTACATAGGGCGTACAATTCGACAGGTCCGTCACCGCATTACAGAACATCATCCAACATGGCTAAGCAAAGGACAGGTGAAAGTGATTAAAAGTTCTATTCTCTCTCACTTGGTTGACACAGGTCATCAAGTCGAAGTGAATACAGCTTTTAAGGTTATCTACAATATTCCATCAAATCTACCACATGGTTTACGAGTGCGCCTTTTGCACATTGCGGAAGCCATCGCAATCCATGTTCACAAACCTGACCTTTGCATCCAAAAGAAATTCGTACAACCACTTTCTCAACCCTGGCCTTCAGTATAACATTTCCGTCAGAAGAACTATTTTTCATACTTCTTCCATTTTTTATTTTAATTTTAAAATTTTTGTAATTTTGTTTCTATCGCTTTTGAGCCTTATAACTTCTCAACATTCATCTCTTGATTCTTACGTAACTACTATCCTATTGACCATCTGGTAAAATTCTATTCCTTCTTTGTTTCTTATATTACGCAACATAGCAACTTCTTGATTACTTTGAATATTAATAATCCTCTCTCTTCCAATTACTGAATGTTAATTTAAATGTCATTATGTAATTATTACGTAACGTATCCACTCGATGAGTATTATATTATTATTGTAAATCATATATATATATATATATATATATATATATATATATATATATATATATTAGTGTAGGGCCATGATGAAGAACTAATCGAAAAGAAACTTCGCTCAATTCGTTCCTTCTTTATTTACCAAATGGCAAAATGGGAATTTTCACTATATTGAAACGTTCTGAGCAAACAAATGGCAAAATGGGAATTTTCACTATAATTCCTATATGTATATATAAAGCCTATTGTGCCTCAGTTTTCTATTGTTTTTCTTTTTCTTTTCAAGTATTCAGTGACAAAATGCTTATGAATTTAGAATACGAGACAAAACAAAAGCAATTTGACAAACAGTAAATACATACATTCTATATTACTATATATGCATCGCTAGTAATCATAGTAATAATAGTCATGATGGTATACACAATGAAGGAACAGATCGGAAACGTTTTTATATCAAGGTAACATATATTTTTTTAATGTACTCACATTGATCCATTCATGATTGAATAAGAAAAAGTAATAAAAACAAATAGGATATTGTTGTCTTTCTATTTATTTTTTTTCTAGGTTCTTATTGTATTTCTTTCTCAAGTATTTCTATTGAATTTAGTATTCTACATCTTTGATTATATGTAAGTGCCATTTGAATTAACAAAGAATGAATCTATTGAATTGTCAATTTATTTTAGGCCAGTATTAAATCAATGGATTGGGCAACATATATGGTCAATGTATTTGTTATGGTATGAATGATTGGATTGTTTTGTTTAACTTTAGTTATACTTGATAGACTATCTGATCATGATTCAGATCCTTGACGAGGGTGTTATAATAGAATCTGACAAAAGTGAATGTTAAGCTTTTAATACAATTTACCTTGATTATATGAATACATGAAGTTAATTATTAATAAAAGAGATGTTATTAGTCTGAATGTAAAGTGAATTTGTTTGAACAGAAATGTATGCGTAGAAAAGATCAGTGAATGAGAATGGTGTAGAAATAAGCATTCATCGTGCATGACAGTCATGTAATTTTGGCTAGTTAAATTCAGTAAGACCAAATAGGTTGATATCAAATGTTTTTTTTTCTAATCAGTGATTTACCACAATTAACTCTTACTACGAACATCAAATTCACCAAAATCGAAGATAGATTTTACTGTCGAGTACCATCTAGCACTAAATTTATTATCTACGGTCTTCTACTGATTGCCAACATGAAAGAACATCGCGATGCTGACTAATATGTTTATTTTATTCATTTATTTAAACACATAAATATTGGCACAAACGGGGTCCGAATACATATGCACCACACAAGTCGCCAGGGTGCCCAAACCGAAACAGGTGGTTTTCTTAGGGGCCACAGCCTGAGCCTTCGACCTAAAAGTCTTATCGACAAGACAGTGGAGTAACGTTAGGAGATGCAATCCCATGATAGACGGTGACCGACAATTGTTTCATACGCGTTTTATTCCCATGTACAAAGTTGGTTTAGAATCAAGGTTTTCCAACCCCCCACCAAGTGGATCCTCCATATCGACCAACTCGGTTAAAGCGATGGACATCCGCTTTTCGTCCTATGGATTTCGTAAACAACACCCCCATCGCGAGAAGGCAGGGCGATCACATTCTAAATTGATCAATATGATTAGATCAAGGCTAAGGACAAGAGAATGTGACATTAATTAGTACTCAGTAATCAATTTATTTAATGATTTATTCATAATAATAACTAGAAATCCGTATTATTTCCGTTCATAATTTATTGTTTGTGAGTTATTGTCGTGTTTGAAAAACTGAGCATCACCAATATTTGTAATTCCTCAGTATTTTGTTTTTGTTCTGTCTACACGAGAAAAAAATGTAATTATTTAGCTAGAAAACTCATTAACGTCCCTCTCAATATTGATTTTTGGGTCAGCTACCCCTTCACCCTAGTAACTTGAAAGCTTCCTACTTTTTGGTGGTGATTTATACAAGCAATTGATATGATATACCAGTATATTCTTTGGTAGCCCTACTTAGTATTTAAACTCCTGAATGATAAGTTTAGGAGACCTATTATTGTCTGAAAATTTACAGTGTTCATTACGATAAATATTATTGGCTGTTGACGTCTGTTATTAAATACTGTTGATTTATTAGAATTGGATTGATCGAATTCTCCTAAATGATTGATCATTCTTGATGGTGCCCTAATTGAATCCATTTTGTTACTTTTGGTTCAACTCTCTGGACATGTCAATAATATATCAGGATGTTCGAACATACGAATCCGATTCAGTTATAATAAATGGGTTTGCTAATGCTTAACACAATCAGTCATAAAAATTGAGAAGTCAAACAATGCGCAGAAACTTTATATTAAAGAGTGAATCGTTATGAACATTATTTATGCATATGTATATAATAGTAAAGTGATCTAGATAAAAAAATACGTGGTTAGTAAACATGTCTAAATGAGTAGCTTGGCGGATTTAATCTGCCAATGCTTTCGTCTCTCACTTCCATGTAAAGTTAAGACAAAAGTTTAACTGTCTGGAACCATTCGACCTATTATCTGCGTACCTTTCTGAACAGCACTCTCTCGATTTAGTAGATGTGACGGTACGTTAATATTTGTTTTCAGTTGTTCTTTAACTGACAGTTGTTTAATATCATTAGGGGATTTTGTGGATATCATAATTTAAAGTTGAGATCATGAGTCACTTGAAGCTAGACCACCATACTGTGGGACTCCTCAACATGTCGGCTCACTGGTCTAGGGGCTAAGCGTTCGTGCGCAAGACCGACAGGTCCTGGGTTCGAATCTCGCGAGGTGGGATTGTTGATGAACCCTACTGAGGAGTCCTACAATAGGACAAAATGGCTGTCCAGTGCTTTCGGATTTACCACGATGATCTAGCTTCAATTGACTTATGATCTCAAATACTGAAATTACAGTTATTTATTCGTTCACACAAGTTAGATTTGATCTCCACTATTAATAAGCGATCAGTTGAGTTTTAATGTTTTGTAAAACTGTTTTATATTTCATAACTTATATATCAAATATAGTATAATGTCAGAATTGATTATCTGAACATTGCTTATTAATTTTAGTTTATTGAATGGTTATAATGCAGTTATTCTTTTAAAAGTTCCAACTATTGAACGATTCTTCCCTCTTAATGTAATTATTCTGAGTATTTTTGTAAGTATATCTTATAATTTATTTATTTTTCGAAGTGATTTATCCCCGTTTTTCTCTACCATATGGCGAGACTATAATTTATGGACGACCTTTGAGAGACGCTCAAGTGATCTTGAGAGTATTCACCTAATAACTAGGATCAAATGAAGGTTATAAACCAGTATGAAGAATTAGAATTGTGATTTACAGTTGATGATTAAAGGTTAGGAATTAGATTTTGGGTTATCATCACGAATCGACATCAGCTTTAGTGCCAAGACACAAGTTAGCCAAATGGATGAGTGAATTTCGCTCCAAAATCCGACACCTTTTATATTATTTCTGATTGGCTCGTCCATTAAATTATAGTCTTGCATACCATGATCCATTTTAAATGAATAATTTAGATGTGAATAACCGTTACTCTGGTTACTCCCTACTCTAATTATAATTAAAAAAGCAAGTTTTTATAAATTTAGGTGATTTTCATCACAGATTAACAATAGTTGATGTACTATTAAAAGCCAGTGAACATTGAAAAGCTGTTTTACTATAGTATATTAATCCTCAAATGTGTGAACTCACAATCGCCTCAGAGATTGAAACTAGGAACTTCAAGTTTCTTAGTGAGAAATTAACCTATGTGTCATTAGGTTGAAATCAAATGATTCACTTTTATAGTTTTTATTAACCAGAGATATAAACTGACATCCGTTTGTGATAGCTATCTCAGTTCAAACATTTACATAAACGTTTATTCAATTAGATCCAATCATTTAGGAATAAATATAGTGAAATAAGTTTCCAACAATTAAACCATCTAATTATTATAAGATTAACAGATGAACCTCAAGTCAGTAAAGCAAATTCAGGAAAAACAATCTGCTGGTAGATAGTCAGTGACTAAAATGAGTTTGTATGCGACTTGTTATTTCAGGATCCTGGAGTCCATGTCTTATAATGGTATGACACCATGGATTTCCAGATGCTGTAGAAAACTATGTATACACCGACTCGTTTCAATCACCATGCATCCGCTCACGTTGTAATACATCTTTATCACATGAAGATGATCAGTAGGACTTTCCTAGTAAAGGCTATAAACCCTTGACCTTATGGGAGGATTTAGAAAGTGAGAGTAGACTATCGCAACCCTTGGACATGTCATGGTGTTTAAGGGAGGTATATATTATACCCACGAGGTGAATTACAACTATTATGACTCAGTAACCTACTAGACAACACACTGGCATTTGAGATGGCAATCATTGTATTCAAGCTCTGCTGGTGAGATCCCAATCACCTAAGGTACATTCAGCTAACGAATCTCAAATAAGATGAGTAAAATGACTGGTCTTCTAATGCTGGCTACTATACAGACAATAAGTTTATTCAAAACATTGTAATTATATAAGCAATTATATGCATTTCACTGTTTTTTTTTCACTTCTTTTCACAATAACCCATTTTAGACAATCTTCCATTCATCCATTGTGGTCAATATTACATATCAAAATGCTACAGTTGATGATGCTATTTCATTTATTATTGTTTTGTTAACATCAACAGTTCTATTCATCATTACAACAAAATATTCCTATGATATAACAGTCTTTTTCTATCAATATTTCTATGTATTTATAGTACCACTGATAGTTTTACCTATTCTTATTTTGATATTTACTTTCATTGGATTTGAAATAGTAAGTAAACAAGTAATTTTATGAATATATATATATATATATATATATATATATATATATATATATATATATATATATATATATATATATATATATATAGCAATCGGGTCAACAAAATGTCACCCCTAAAACAGGTCAATCCTGATTCAAGTAGCTTAGTAGTAGCGCTTCTGACTGATTCTAAGTACTGTGAGACCAAATTACACAGGCAGTATTAGTCCTCTGAAGTTTTCCGGTACATTTTACTGATGAGTAATGTCTAGAGCGATATGGTAGTTTATGAGTTTTTACCTTCGATTATTTTTCATAAAACGAAATATTCGTTCTATTCTTATTGAACGTGTAGGCATCATGAAGACACTAAGAAATTGAATGATAATTTTGTTATTGGTTTTTAGTAATCACTTATTATTATTATCATCTTATATTAGTTGTTTGAATATTCCCATTAATTTTAAGAACTTCAGTAGATTGGTCTCAAATTGGTATATGTGTGCATCCTGAGCGGATCCCCTCGATGTTGGCATCAAAAGCATTTTAAGCAGGGATGGACGGTAGCTAGCAGTTTAATTCAGAACGAGCGTTTTGTTCTATTTGGGATTCGTCAGCTGGATGTATTTGGATTCCAGAGTTGATGTTCGGTCAGGACTTGAATCTAGTATCGTTCGCTACAAACACCATCTGGATTCTGAATCCAGATAGCCAGTAGTTTGTGCAATGTAGTGAAGTTTAAATTCATTTTGTATCGTTCGTTTGAATCTTCCCATTGATGTTTAGGACTGCAATTGGACTCGGTAGCTGAGTGAATAACACGAAGCGAACGGTACTAGGTTTGAGTTCCAGAGTGAACATCAACTCTAAGATGAAGATACATCCGGCTGACGAGTCCCAAATACGATGAAACGCGCGTCCTAGATTCCACTACTTTCCACCATCCATCTCTGCTTATTATTATTATTATTATTATTATTATTATTATTATTATTATTATTATTATTATTATTATTATCATCATCATTTAGTTCGTTGGTTTTACAACACTAGAATAATTAGAAATATTCCATAAAATACGAATACCCACCGCCCCGAAATGTTTACTTTTTGGAAACAACATCTTCAATTTTAATTCATTGGTCTTAATTTATTATTTTGTTTTAATTATAACAGTTAACGAGTAAATTGTTCATGGTATTCACTTTTATACACTTTCAATTTGTAAGTTTTCATTGATTTAACTTATGATTCAAAATGTTTATTCATTTATGTAATATTCTTAGCTTAGAGATATTAAAATGATTGGGGTTACATATGTAAATAATTGAATGTGGACTTAAGAGAGTTGTGGTTGCATATTTCTATGTTCCATACCAAGACAAAAGGAATTTGCTGGCTTTAAATTGTTGTCATTCCATATTACTTACTTACTTACGCTAGTTACACCTCGTGGATGAGCACGGGCCGCCCATCAGCATTCTTCATCAAACCCTGTCCTGGGTAATCCTTTCCAGCTCTTTTCGGTTGTTATTCATCCTTTTCATATCTGCTTCTATTTCCCGACGAAATGTGCTCTTTGGCCTTCCTCTTTTCCTCTTCCGTTGACGATTCCAAGTTGGGGCTTGCCTAGTGATGCAGTTTGGTGATTTGCGTCATGTATATCCTATCCATTTCCACAGTCTTTTCCTAATTTCCCCATCAACTGGAAGCTAGTTTGTTCTCTCGTCATTCCATATAGTCTTCAAAAGTTCAAGTATATCCGCGAATCGACCGCACATGTAAAACTAGGAAAAGAAATGTGATGCTTATGATTTTAAGTAGTATTAATAGACAGGGATCTTTGGATTTGTTTTTTGTTCTCACTCTTATTCGATTTCATGGGATACCAGTGGCTTAGACGAAACTAATATTTGTTAGTTGACTAGAACTCGTGACACACAGTATCGATTGTCTATTGTGATTTACCATTAAAAAGCGTTTACTCACATAGTAATCTGATTTGTGGTATTTTATTGACACTGGAGATTGAAGAGCAGGATATGTTTATTTCATTAAATATTCTTGAAAGAAACAAATTTCTCGTGTCTAGATATCGTTGCACCAAAAAGGTTCACCGTAGGATAATGATTAGCGTTTAGTTTACAAAACCTCTTATATGAACAGAAATTACCATAAAACTCTTATGTTAATGCTTTTCAATTACTTACTTAAGCCTGTCACTCCTAATGGAGCATAGGCTGCAGACCAGCATTCTCCAACCCACTCTGTCCTGAGCCTTCCTTTCCAATTCCATCAAATTCTTATTCATTTTCTCATGTCTATCTCCATTTTCCGGCGTAATGTGTTCTTCAGTCTTCCTCTTTTCCTTTGGCCTTGAGCATTTCAAGTTAAGGCTTACCTTGTGATGTAGTTGTGTGCATTCTTCTACAAATTATCGACATTTATCTTAGGGACAATATGTTTTTTGTAATTTTCTGATTAACGTTATCTAAATCTTTTAAATGGATGTCTTAGAAATAGTAATTTGATCAATAATCAGGATAACGATTTTGTACTAACAGTCATTATATGTAGTTAGCTTTTCATTATGAAAGTAGTTATCAAATGTAATCACATTCAGTTTTGTACATATTCCTAATATGCAATTTGTTACATGACAAAGAATCACCTTGTCAAATGAAGTACAGTGAAATATGTAAGTATACTAGTCAGTATTCAAGTTCTACAGTTATAGAAAGTCATAAGATCGGAGACAGATTGACTAAAAAGCGTGCTCTCAAAGAACACAGTTTACATTTTCATAAGTGGTATCCAGGATTATATCGATTTCTAACTAGAAAATTTCCGATTGAATAATTCAAAAATGATATCATACTACTTAATTTGGATCAAAGTACAATGTTCCATTTATAGTAAAAGTAGGAAGGGCTATGATGTGGTGAATGGGTTTGTTTATTTATTTATCATTCAGAAAAAATAGAGCGTAGCCGATTGTTGTGTTTACCTAAAGAAATCAGTGCTCTTATCTGTGTCAAATAATTTGGGAGGGAATTTTCAATATATTTTATATGAGAAACAGTAGATTTATTATAAGCAAAGATGGATAATGGTTAGCAGTGGAATCCAGGATGCTCCATTCGTCTTATTTAGGACTTGTTAGCTGAATTACCTGCATTCCAAAGTTGATGTTCATCTGGAACTCGAACATAGTACCATTCGTTTCAAACACCATCGTGTTATCCACTTAACTACTTAGTCCTGATAACCACTTGCTTGTTCAATACCAGGTGAAACAGTAGACGTATTTTGATATAATGGAGAAGATTTGTAGTCCAGATGAATGATTGTAGTATGAGTAAAAATGGAAACTCATTGACCAAATCATATAGCTCAGAGAGCGGAGCCTTATGATTATCGCTTCAGAAATAGTGTTGATAAGTAATTGTAACTGTTTTGAAGGAAGAAACATCAATTAATATGTTTTCGATTTGTAATACTTATGGAAAATTAATGGGTAATTATACACTTACGAAAGGTAGACATCCTTGGTGAAGATGTGATATATTATAATAGTTTTAGTGTAAAACAAGAAGTGGATTCATAAGTTCACATTTTGATTATACTATGCACAACTACCTTCAATTTCAATATTTATCTAAAATGTTATGGAATTTTCCGATTGAAGTTTTATTTTGAGTGATATGCAAGAATGAACGAAATCAATACAATTCACTTCGCAAAAGAAGTAAATAAAAAAAGTCAAGTATTCTGTCAATTCTAGTTGACTGATAAAAACTATTACTTCATCTGAATATTCACTTTCAACAATATAATAATAGTAAACATTGTCATGAAATCTAAACATTCTAGACTAAGTCACTTCAGAAAGAAGACACAATTGTAAACCTTCAAACTAGGATAAGATCAATAGGCTTTTGATGATCACCAGTTTTATAGTTGATATCAGTTCATGATAAAATTCAGTTTAACTTTGTTAATCTAATTCTAATAATTTTCTATCATTAAAAACAAACGTGAATCATACAACTAATTCTTGACAGTTAGTTTTTTCACTGGTTGAAATCATGAGTCAATTGAAGCTAGACCACCATGGTAAACCTGGAAGCACTGAACGGCCGTTTCGTCCTAGTATGGGGCTCCTCAGCAGTGCGCATCCATGATCCCGCCCCTTGCGAGATTCGAACCCAGGACCTTCCAGGTTTTCCATGGTGGTCTAGCTTCAATTGACAGATGATTTCAACCAGTGGAATTTCTAAAAATCTCCAAAGAACCCTTCTGATAGTCAGTTTTTTGTTTTGTTTTTTTGTTTTGCTTTTTTTTCAACGTAGTTCACAATCATCACAGCTCAAACACTTCAAGGTGGTCATGATGTTGAAGTAGAAATAGAAGATTATGTTCTAGGATCAATGCAAATGTTCATTGTAATTTTATGTTCATCATTATCATTATCAACATTATTTGAAAGAAATTTCATTGAAGAATATGATTTGTTTAAAACAATATTCTTGATATTCAATATTCCATTAGTATATTTTTCTATATTGGTTAATGAAACTAATCTCAAAAGTAAACTAAATAATCATATGGACCAAATTACTCATTAACATGATACATTACAATATGAAATCATGAAATAAAAAAGTGGTTTTTATGATTTTATTTGCTAATAAATCCTTTCCAATTATCATTTTCTTTCTTTACCCTTTTATACTACTTAATTGATTTGAGGTTGTAAAAACTGTTTATAAGAAAAGAGTTTAAATTAGACAATTAGTTATAATCAGGGGTTTGTGGAGATTTTAGAAACTTCACAGATTGAAATTATGAGTCAATTGAAGCTAGACCACCATGGAAAACCTGGAAGCACTGGAAGGCCATCTCGTTCTAGTATGGGACTCCTAAGCAGTGCGCATCCACGATCCCGCACCTCGCGAGATCCGAACCCAAGACCTATCAGTCTTGCGCCAAGCGTTTAACCAACTAGACCACTGGTATACGGTGGCGCAACTTCGTGGATTGGTGGAAGTTAGACATTACCACAATTGGATTCAGGCTCAGTGGTTCATTTGAATATGTAGTATTTTTAGCAATACTCGACTACAACATAATGAGTAATCAAAAATGAAGATATTAAGAACAAGTGATAACAATATTCACCAGGTCTTTTCAGTTACTATTTATCTTTTTTTATGTTTATTTCCGATTCCCGACGTTATGTGTTCTTTGGTTTTTCCTCTTTTACGTTTTCTTTCAGGATTCTAAGTCAGCGCTTGCTTGATGATGCAATTTGATGATTTCCTGAATGTGTGTCCTATCCACTTCCAATGTCTTTTCCTAAGTTCCTGTTCAGTTAGTTTGTTCTTTCCTTTAGTAGGTTGTTACTGATTGTATCTTGACAGCTGGTTTTGAGTATCTCGAGTAGATAATTGTTTTGAAATACTTTCAGTTTTTCAGTGATTATTGTAATAGTTCTTTAAGTTTTAGCTCCGTACAGTAGAACTGTCTTGATGTTCATATTGAAGATTCTAACCTTAATACTGGCTGACAGTTGTTTTGAGTTCCATATGTTCTTCAATTGTAGAAATGTTGTCCCTACCTTTCCGATCTTTTCCTTTACGTCTGCATCAGATCTTCCTTGTTGCTTTTTAAATGCTTTCTATATAATATAAATATTAGTCGTTATTTGGTTAGATCAAATCATATATATATATATAGTTAGCAATAAATCATTAATTAATACATAACATCTGTAACTTCTGATTTACATTTATGAGAAATCAGATGAGAACTAAACAATCTTCTGCAAGATAATATGCACACGAAGTCAAATAATAAACACCATATTCATTTCTGTTTAAAGAGTATAACACAAAAGAGAAAATTGAGTGAATATACAGAGATCTTTTAATTATTTAACTGTTCATTACCAACAAAAGTTAAATTGGTATAATAGTAAACATTTGTAACACGGGTGAATGATATGGTTAGCATTATACTGTTTGAGCATAATGGAGTAATCAAAGTTTGATTATCTTTCTGAATAATATATGAGATGTTCACTTGAGTTATAGATCTTTTAAGAAAGACAATGGTAGTTACACTGTTAAACCAGTGAAAATTTCCTACCATTAGTTTCTTCAATCCTGAAAGGAAACGAAAAAGAGGCAGGTCGAAGAACACATTGCATTGAGAATAGGAAGCAGATATGAAAAGGATAAATAGTAATTGGAAACAACTGGAAAGGTTTGTCAAGGACAGAGTTGGATAGAGAATGCTGGTGAGTGTTCTATGCACTTCCATTAGGGTAACAGGTGTAAATGAGTAATTAAGTTCCTTCAATAAACTTTTGTAAGAAAGAGACAATCAATATTATATAAAGAAGGGAACTTATAGATTCATAGACTTATAGATTTATCCATTGGAACTCATAGAGAATAGATTATCTTGTTTATCTGATTCTGTTTCAAATCATAACGCCATGAAATTAATTTATCAACCCTAATAAACGGATTACTTCTTCTTTGAACAGTACTTTTTGACATTTTTTTTCCCTATATTTCACAGTGATTTATGGCAAATTGAAATTGTTTAAAATGAGAATAAATTACAGATTTGACTTAACTGGTTAAAAGTTTAAACACCTTCAAAGAATACACTAACAAAAATATTTTTGTACAGCTCAAACTGTGGAAATTTGGAATGGTTTAAAGGATAAATGTAGGCTTGAATAATTTAGATTGAAACTGGCAATATATTGTTATTATCAGTGGCTTTATTCAGTGTTATATTTTTGGTACAATGTATATATATTCACAGCACAAAGTATTTCAACAAGTTTCCTTTCCTTATTTCTTGATCGAACCTTGCTATAAATACTGAGTGATCGCCAATCAGATGTTCAGTCAGTCAGCTACAACGTATGATCAGGCACATATATGCATCAACTCAAGTTGTCACACCTCATTAGCACAAGATGAACACCGAATTCATAGAAGTAGTCACTTCAATGGTAGAAATATATCAAAGAAAGATTGTGTATAAGGATATTATTCAAAGAGAGAGAAGTCGTTCGTAGAAACAAAGATATAGAGCGATTTTAATCTCACGGTCTAAGGGAAGACAGAGAGTGTGTATACACATACGCCATTGTGATGGATTCTGAGCCATGTCACACAGAGTCTCCAACCATTGATTACAATAGTCACACCGACCCCAACCAAGTAGTCTGCATCTACTAACATGACTCAGACTAGAGGTTAGTGACTTCAAGCACTGATGCCACGTTTTGGTTTGGCCACCACTAACTTTCTTCCAACCATCCTCTACACTATTCAGCATTGTGCGTGGTAATCGGTGTTCAGGCATACGTAACACATGGCCCAACCATCTCAGTCGATGAAGATTAACAACCTCATCATTTAATTTACTATCATTCCCTAATACCCTGAGTCTAACCTCATTATTACTTACCCGGTGACCCCAGCAGATGCGAGTAATATTTCTAAAATATGTGTGATCAAATGCTTGTAACTTACGAGTATCTTCTACACTTAATGACCACAATTGGCAGCCGTAAAGTAGAACAGGACGAACTGCTGTGCAGCATTCTCGCCACTTAACTGATAGACGAATATCTCGCCTTCGCCATAGGTGACGTAATTTGGCAAAAGACAAACGCGTTCAACTACTCCACTCACCATCCTTAGTTCAGATGTTGACGCAAACCAGTCCTGAAGCAACAACTTGCATTTAAGTGGACAGGAACGCATCCCAAACATTCTGGCATTATTGTTCAGTGCTAACAGAAGACTGTGTTTTGTCAGAGTCTTCACCAGACAGGACTATATCATCTGCGTATTCTAAGTCGATAAGTGGACCTTCTGGAAGGAGATCAGTGCCCGAGAATTCCGTCGACAAAAACGTTATTTTCACCAGTAGGTTTATGATGAAGTTAAATAAAAATGGAGAAAGTGGACAGTCTTGCCGGGCACCACTTGAGGTTGCAAAATCAGATGACAGTTCGCCATAAGCCCTGACTCGACTAGTAGTGTTCGAGTAAAGAGTCTTCACGAGGTTTATGTACTTCTGAGGTACACCTTTCAGTGACAGACACTGCCACAGTACCTCTCTGTCTACAGAGTCAAATGCTGCTTTTAAGTCAAGAAGAACACCAATAAGCATACCTGTGTTTTAGAACCTGACGATTGGTGAATATGTAGTCAATGCAGCCACGACTAGGTCTGAAGACAGTCTGATTTTTTCATGTTTGTATTTCACGCAACTTGGTAGTCGCCATGTTAGGCAACGTCACTCTTTGTGCTTAAAATTAGCGTTTGCTAAAATTAAATGATTATTTGAGCACAGTTACAGCAGACAATCACCATTAAGTGTTCGCTGAGCCGGGATACTAAAATACTCACCAAAATATCTTTCCCTTTGGTTTAAGCTACCTACTTGGGTATTAAAGTCACCTACTACGAGAACTGTCTGAGCATTTAGCTTTCTGAAGAAGTTCAGAAAGCTTTCTGTAAAACCCATCTTTCACTTCATCCGAGCTGCAGTCGGTGGGAGCATAGGCAGAAACAACCGAAGGGTAACGACGTGTATCCCTATCCTTCCGAGTTCGTACGGAGCTGTTTAGCCGAACAGCACATAAACGACTGTTAACGGGGATTCACTAAATAGTGCTTGTTCTGCCCTTGTACTTAGTGCTACGCCTACACCTGCCAGTCCATGAGAACTAGCCATCGGGTCGCCAGATAAACGGAGGGTGTATCTCGTCGGCCCTCCGTTTTGCTGAGGTGAGGTTAAATGAATGACCACATTAGGTTCCTGTATGTGTGTTTCGGAGACACGGAGACACGGACGAGATCCTAATGTTTCAGCCGAGGAGGCCTGCTGGTCGATATGACGTAGAGTGCGTACTTTGAAGGCTCCAATGTGTAGTTTGGAGCGAGGTTTCAGTAGACCTGGGATATTGTTTTGCGCACTAGAATCGTTGGACATGGTGACACTTGGGAAGGGAGCCGAAAAATGAAGTTTAGCGTTGAAAGTCGATGTAGGACGAATAATAGAAATTGAAGAGGGAGACTGACAATGAGTACAATGATCTTGAGTTTTGTTAGAGTTATGAGGGCGGTTATCACTTCCCGGAGGTGGTCTTAGTGACCTGCGTGACCGCAGTGCCCAAGGGAAAACTGTTTGAGGTCGGTCACACACAGCCTTTTTGTGGGTAATTTCTGTGTTAGCTCCGTACTTGTTGGGACCTTACCGACGGAGACAGATATCCGTAGGATAAGGAGAGATGTGCATTTTTAGGGTCAACCTTTTCTAACCCCATCCCTCCCAGTGGGAAGGCAGCATCACTGTCATGCTGGTTGTCTGAAGGAAACACCTTACTGCTAACACGCTTCTGTACAGTCGGCAGTACGACTACACCCTCAGACTTTGTGTTTGCTGCTTTTAGTCTTGTCGCTCTTCAACTGACCTGTCATGCATGGTAGGACCTTGAGGAACGATTGTTCCATCCAGTATAGCTCGTTTGGTTCATCACGATATACAAGCCCGACCATCACGTCAATGTAGCAACGACGGTCAGGCCAGGAATAGACTTCTGATTAATGTTTATTGTCAGCAACCACGTTGTTTCTGATTGTATTTTTTTTTGTAACTTGTACAATAAAATAT